GTGTTTGTAAGCTTTCAAAACATGATCCAAAATCAATTTGGAATGAGAATCAAGAGATTTAGGTCTGATAATACAAGAGACTACTTCAATCAGAGTCTATCTACTATTTTCAAAAAGAAGAGATTATCCATGAGTCATCTTGTGTTAATACTCCACAATAGAATGGAGTGACAGAGAAGAAAAATAGCCATTTACTAGCCACAACCCGAGCTTTTTTTTTTTCAAGCAAATGTACCTAAATTTTATTAGGGGAAAGCTGTTCTCACTGCCACACATATTATAAATAGGTTATCTTCAAGAGTTTTGAGATTTAAAACTCCTATGGAACTACTCTCACAATTTTATCCCAACCTCAATACCACAAACAATCTCACACATAGGATATTGGTTGTACATTATTGTTCATGTTCACAGTCATAACAGAGGAAAATTGGATCCAAGAGCGATTAAGTGTATTTTTGTGGGGTATTCTTCAACTCAAAAAGGATATAAGTGCTATCATCCTCTTACCAATAAATTTTATGTGTCTGCAGATGTCACTTTTGAAGAAAATAAACTAATTTTTACTCAACCTTATCTTCATGGGGAGACTTCATTCATGGAAGATAAGGATAAAGACTTCTTTTTGCTTGATTTGCTCCCTTTTTCAACATTTACACCCATTAATTCTTCTGAGTCGAAACCTGTTTCTGCTGAGCCCAAGTCAAATACTGAATTTGAGTCTGAACCCATTTCAAATTCGAAAGATGTGACAAAAGATAATATTATTCTTGATTCTATGAAAGAATTACAGGTGTACTCAAGAAGAAAAGTTTCAAATCCTGAACCAGTGCCAGTCCAAGAACTTGATCTTAACTCTGGAAATGAGGTAACTATAATTTTTTACTCTGTTTCTCAAAATGAGCATGAATCTCCTAAAACTATAACTAGTGATTATGATCTGCCTATTACCATTAGGAAAGGAACCAGAAAATGTACCAAGCATCTACTATACCCAATCTCTAATTTTGTGTCATTTGAAAAATTCTCACCATCCCACAAAAATTTTCTTGTGAGCCTAAACACTATTTTTGTTTCAACTACATTATCCAGTGAGAAATGGAGGTAAGTCATGAAAATAGAAATTGAGGCCTTAAAGAAAAATCAGACATGAGAACTGATAGAGTTACCTAAAGAAAAAAATTCAGTGGGGTGTAAATGGGTTTTCATTGTAAAATACAAGGCAGATGGTATTATTAAAAGGTATAAAGCCAGGTTAGTGGCTAAGGGCTACACTCAAACCTATGGAGTGGATTACCAGGAAACTTTTGCTCAAGTTGCCAAAATGAATACAGTTAGGATTTTGTTATCATTGGCTGCAAATTACAATTGGCAGCTTCAACAATTTGATGTAAAGAATGCTTTTCTACATGGTGATTTGGAAGAAGAAATATATATGAAGGTTCCACCGGGATTTTAAGGTCATCTAGAAGCAAACAAGGTATGCAGGCTGAAAAAAGCTTTATATGACCTTAAACAGTCTCCTAGAGCTTGGTTTGAAAGATTTGCCAAAGTGATGCTAGCAATGCGATATAAACAGAGTCAAGGAGATCACACATTGTTTATCAAGCACTCTGATTCAGGGAGAGTCACAATTCTATTAGTGTATGTTGATGATATAATTGTAACTGGAGATGATGAAAAAGAAAGAGAATCTCTAAAATAGTGTTTGGCTAGAGAATTTGAGATAAAAGAGCTAGAGAGATTGAAGTACTTCCTAAAAATTGAAGTAGCTCACTCACGACATGGTATTTTCATCTCACAACAGAAATATGTGATGGATCTTTTGAAGGAAACTGGGAAGCTTGCATGTAAACCTGTAAATACCCCTATAGATCCTAATCATAAAATTAGAGAACTAATGAAGATGCTGCTGTAAATAGAGAGATGTACCAAAGATTAGTTGGAAGACTCATTTATCTCTCACATACTAAACCTGATATAGAATATGCTGTGAGCGTGATAAGTTAATTTATGCATAGTTCTAAAGAAGTGCACCTACACGCTGTCTACCATATATTGTACTATTTGAAGGCCAATCTTGGGAGAGGTATCTTATTTAAAAAAAATTCGGGGTTAGTTCTAGAAGCATATACAGATGCTGATTATGCAGGTTCAATAACTGATAAAAGATCCACCTCAAGCTACTGCACTTTCTTAGGTGGTAATCTTGTGACTTGAAGGAGTAAAAAGCAGAATGTGGTGGCAAGATCAAGTGCTGAAGCAGAGTTTAGAGCAATGGCTCAAGGAATTTGTGAACTACTATGGTTAAAGATTATCCTAGAAGACTTGAAGATCAAGTGGGATGGACCAATGAGACTCTACTATGATAACAAGTTTGCAATAAGCATTGCACATAATCCTGTGCAATATGATAGAACAAAACACATTGAAGTAGACAGACATTTCATAAAAGAGAAACTAGACGGTGGGTTGATTTGTACACCTTATGTATCAACCAAGAGTCAACTTGTAGATGTGTTGACTAAAGTCTCAGTAGTGTAACATTTCAAGAAATTATTTTTAAGCTGAGAATGAAAAACACATATTCACCGGCTTGAGGGGGAGTGTGAGAAAACACTTATTTACAGCTGGTTGTAATCTTGTAATCTGTATATTTATATTTGTATCTCTAGAATTAAGTATTTGTATCCCTAAAATTAGGATAAACAATCCTTCAATTATAGGATTAATTTTTTAAGAAGATTTAGTTTTCTAGTTTAACCCCTAGTTAGTTGTATATAAACCTAAGATTCTTGTATAATTCTTAATAAACAATTTTTCAACATACATTCAATTTTCACACCGATTTATTTCTTAGTTTTTCCGCACGTTCTTCTTGCTTTTAAGGGCCTTCATTAAATCAGCGACACCTGCAGCTGCTGCTCTCTGTTTCTTTGGTGAGTATGGAATTATCTATTCAGCCTCATTTTTTGATCTCTGATGTACATTACCTTCATCCACTACCAATTCTGATTCCTACACAGCTTCTAGGATCGAGAATCTATTAACAGAACCTGATCTAACAGTTGAGAGTGCAATCGGAATCATAGTCTCCTTTATGGCTCTATCTGGTTGTATCTCAACCACTTCAGTCAACTTTGCCTCCTGCATAGCCGTATTACCCTTATCCTTAGTTACCCAGACCATTGCTTCTATCTTTACTTTCTTTGTACAAGTTTTATCATTCTGCCCAAATACACAACAGTGCTTGCATTTCTGTGGCATCCATGGGATTTCAACTGAAACAGACATAATTGATCCATCCCTCCTTTCCACTTCAATGAACTTTGGCACTTCCGTACTTGCCTTCATCTCAATACAAATCTTTGCATATGCCAGTCTCTGCTTATTTGCAGTGATCGAATCCATATATAATGGATTACCTAGGGCACTCGCTATTTAGCTAAGTCCCTTTTTCGTATAGAGCTCAAGTGGTATATTGCCCAATTGCACCCATACTGGCAGCATTTCCATGTTAAACTCTAATGATCGCATTCCTGGCTCCCATTTTCGAACAATCAGTGGTTTGTTCTGGATATGCCATGGCCCATGTTCTATCACCCAATCCCTAACTTCCTCGTTTGGGAATTAAATGACAAACAGATTCGTTCCAGCAGGCTTGATCTCAATTAAACCACTTTTCCCCCATAAAACATTAACCATCTTTTGAAACAAACTGAAATTTGGCATCCTTCCAATAAACTGAGCTACCAGCGAGCTTTGCCATTGATGGATACCTTCCTCGAAGACATCATCAGGAGGTTTTACAGTTATTCTGCCATCTGTCTGTTGAGGGGGAAAGTACTCCAACGCTTGATCCACTGGGGCTGCAAATAGATTCCTCCAATCCATTTGCGATCTCCTTTCACTACCTTACAGATCGACAATCTTCTCTGCATTCAGCCCAACAACCACGCAATCCTCATTGTTAATCTTAGTATTACATTGATCCTTACCAGAATTCTCAAAAGAAGAGGATTGTGAAGCAAGAGATGGTTTCTTGGACATCGCCGATCGCTACTCTCTCAATACCCCAAATTAAGTTCAATGAAAAACCAAATCACCAAATTTATTCCCGAACCAAAGAAATCACTACTGGAATGGAAGAAATTAAATGACACTAGCTCGTAATGATGAAATTTTGCACCAGAATTGATGGCTTACGCGAGGAAATCCTCCACTCAAGAAAGTCCTGCTATCGTGAGCCGACAGCTTTTCCTAATCGTGCGCCTAGAAATGCTGTGTTTGTACGATATATTTGGAATAATCGATATATTTGAAATACAAAGGAGTGAGGACGAAAATTTGCTAGTTTATAATCCTCAATGCTCAGGCCAAAACCATATAAAATTACACAAGTAAAATGACAATATATATTAATTAACGGATTATGGATATTAAAATCTCATGGTTTGTTTTAGAATTTAAAAAAAAAAAAAAACAATTGTCCATTAGAAAAATTAATTGTAGATTTGTAAGTTATAACGACAGGCAAGGTAGCTGGCCCTGCCCGCCGCATTCTTAATTGATGGCTTCTGAAAGCTACCCTGGCCACCGCCATCTTAATTGATGGCTTCTGGAATTTTATCCCATATATATTTTATGTTATCATTTGCGATCTGAAAGTCCATGTTAGATGCATTATTGTTGATTTTAACATGTAATTAATATAAAAAATTCTTAGAAAGAATCAGCACAAATTGCCTGATATGCAATTTGAAGAAGTTATTACATATGCATATATGTATAACCCTTGAATAATAGTCAAGGACGAAATCGCGTGTTCAAGTTTAAATTATTGGTTTGATCAAGTCTTCTGATTGACTGCAGTTACGAAGACAAAAGGAAAACAAATTAAGACAAGTCTTCATGTCATCTAGAGGTTAGTTCACATATTTTGACAAACATGAAACGTCAATTGCTCTCTGCAAACCACACTATAAATAAGGAATCTCTCAATCTATTTTGTACGCACAAAATCAGCTTAGGAAATGAAGTCTCCTCACTTTTCAATGTTGCCGCTTGTTTTTGCTGCTCTCTTCTCATTGTCATGGGCAACTTCGCCTCATGACGATTTTCTTCGTTGCCTTTCCCTTCGTTCAAATGACTCTTCTTCCATTTCTAAAGTAATCTACACACCTATTAATTCTTCATATTCATCTGTGTTGGAGTCTACTATCCGAAACCTTAGGTTCTCCACACGAGATACCCCCAAACCTTTGGTCATTGTAACACCATTGAGCACATCCCATATTCAAGCAACAATTTATTGCTCAAGAAGACATGGGCTCCAAATTAGAACCAGAAGTGGTGGTCATGATTTTGAAGGTCTTTCTTATGTTTCTAAAGTTCCATTTATCGTCATTGACTTGGTCAACTTTAGATCAGTTGATGTTGATGTGGAAAATAAAGTTGCATGGGTGCAATCTGGTGCAGTCCTTGGTGAGCTTTATTACAGGATTGCTGAAAGAAGTAGAACTCTTGCCTTTCCAGCTGGTACTTGCCACACTGTGGGTACTGGTGGATACTTCACCGGAGGAGGTTATGGCTTATTGTTTCGAAAATACGGTCTTGCTGTTGATAACATAGTTGATGCTCAACTCATTGATGTAAACGGAAGAATTCTTGATCGAAAATCCATGGGGGAAGATTTGTTTTGGGCAATTCGAGGAGGTGGAGGCGGTAGCTTTGGAATTGTCCTCGCATGGAAACTAAATTTGGTTTCTGTTCCGGCAACTGTAACAGCATTCACTGTTACCAAGACCCTCGAACAAAATGCAATCAAACTTATTCATCGTTGGCAATATATTGCACATGAGCTTCCTGATGGAATCTACTCCGCTGTTAGTCTAAATACGGTGAATTCTAGTCAAGATGGGAAGAAAACAATTCTAGCTTCCTTCAGTTCATTATTTCTTGGTGGCACTGATGAGCTTGTTTCATTAATGCAAGAGAGATTTCCTGAGCTTGGACTAGTAAAAGAAGATTGCATTGAGATGAGCTGGATTGAATCTATTCTTTATTTTGGCCAAATTCAAAATGAATCTTTGGAGATTTTGCTTGACAGGACTTTTAGGAGTCCTCTTACTTCTCCCTCCTACAAAGCGAAATCTGACTATGTGAAGGAGCCTATCCCTGAGATTGGATTGAGGGGTTTATGGTCAAGACTTTCTGAGGCAGAGGTAGAATATGCTATTGTTGGATTTTTTGCTTATGGGGGGACAATGGATGAGATTCCAGAGACTGCAACTCCATTTCCTCACAGAGCTGGCAACCTGTACAAAATCTTATATAGCGTGGGTTGGCAAGAAGAAGACAACATAAACTCTGAACGGTACATAAGTTGGATTAGAACACTTTATAGTTACATGAGCTCTTTTGTTTCAAAATCTCCACGAGAGGCGTATATTAATTATAGAGATCTTGACATTGGAACAAACAAAAAGGGTAATTATACAAGTTATGCACAAGCAAGTGTTTGGGGTCGGAAATATTTCAAGAATAACTTCGATAGATTGGTGCGTGTGAAGACGATGATTGATCCAGATAATTTCTTCAGGCACGAACAGAGTATCCCTCCTCTTATTTCTTCAAGGAAGTAAAAAGCTCGGTAGAGTGACCTCGGCAATAAAGCTTCTGGAAAAGGGCACCAATCCAATACAATTAAATATTGCACAATAAAGGGTTTCTGGGTTTCTTTCTTAGCATTTCTGGCACAATAAATATCACTGTATTTGTTATTATTAAAAATCAAATATTACGTTATTTAAAAATATCAAAATTACCCTGTTTGTTATAATAGTTGTACAAATTAATAATTTTATATTATTTAAAAATAATAATTTGTATATAAAATATTAATATTTACTTCATAAATATAATTAAATTATTAAATTAAAATATATTTATTGACCGTAAACTAATTTTTATAGTATAAATTATGTTAAAAAATATTTAAATTAAAAATAAAATTAATATATTAAAATCAAACAATTATATTATAAATAAATTTAAAAAAATAAAAAAATCACACAAAATATTTTTGAATTTATTGTAATAAATATTAGTTTAAAAATATAAAAATTATAATATAAAATAAGAACAACTAATTTTAAGAAGATATAAGTTTTTAATTCATTTACTAGATGGATAATATTAATTATTGTTCATTTCATCAATAATAAAAGTTTTTCATCCCTTTAGATAGAAATTAGATCACACACTGAGATAGTGATCTAATCACATGATGATTCAAGATCACTATCACATGATGATTCAAGATCATTATTACATAAAATCATTAAGTAATTATCAAATATAATAATTTAATTACCGTACATAAATTACTATAATTTTTTAAGTGATTATCCTACTCAACACTACCTAAAAGGTGACCATTCAATTAAAATTCTTTGACCATACACTTCATATTTTGTTTAACGGTGTAAACTTAGTTAATTAATGATACGTATATTATTAATTATAGTAATTAATGGAGGTAGCCTTGTACTTTTTTTTTTCATTATCTCATTTTCTTTGATATTTTCGTCAAACTTTTCGTAAATATGAAAGTGTAAGAGAAATATAGAAAATACAATGTAAGAAGAAATGTTTTGTTTATTACGTACGACCAACATTTTCTTATTTATTATAGATGTATATTTTTGTTTAAAAATAGACGATAATATATTTCAAACACAGAATAGTAAAAGATATTTTTTCTTTGAATGCAATATTAGAGCCGGAGTCAAAGTCCAAGTCAACCATAGACCTTGTAGGCTAAGCCACAAGCTAGCCGTCCCTTCTTGAATACCTATCACAAATTAACAAGATGAAGAAGCAAAATGAAAATTAATGGTGAAAAATCTAAGCTTACAGAAAATGCTGATTTGCAAACACGCAAGTTTAATTTAAGTAGAAATCAGCAGAAAGTGACCATAATAATTAAAGAATATTAAATGTATATATATGTGTGAATTATGTCCTCATTTCATAGTCAACGTGGAAATTTTCCATGCATCAATCCAATTTTATAACGAGAATAAACTTCAGTTAGGTTAGATAAGTCTTTGCCTAATCCTTCCATAAAAAAAGTCTTTAGATCATTTTGAAGGTTGACATTTTTACAAAGTAGATTAGAAACAAATTTAACTTATTGAATGTTATTATTTAAAAATTATTATATTAATCAATTAAATTAAATTTTAAGCTTGTACACATCTCTTTAGGCACTTATTAAGGGAATTGTCTTTTTCAAAACTTGCTGTCTGACATAATCTTGAAATACATATAAAAAAAAAATCTCTTTTCACTAATTTTGTTATAAAAAAAATACGGGAACCCGCAGTATCAACGAGAGCCTAAGTGACAGTTAAAAAAAAAATTTTGTCTAATTGAATTGTCTTCATTGCCTTCCTGAGTACTCAAGCTCATCATGGATTTCTCATTTAAGTACATATATATATATATATATATAATTTCTAACAACTGAAAAATAGTAAAGGAGTTATCTATAGATGAAACTTAAAATATTGGCCGTTTATAGATGCTCGAGGGTGATTGAGAGTTCAGCTACAGTAGTTTAGCTCTTCGTCAGACAGACAAACTGTTAATTTTTGTTACAGAAAGGTCAAAGAAGCCTGCGGCAAGAAATGGAGCGTTTATATTTAGTCCATAATTCAAGCCAGCTTGCTTTCGGCTTTAATATAAAATGTCCAATGAGACAACCGGTTTGGGGCCTACGTGGTGGTTGCTTCTTCAAATACATTTGTACTAGTTTTCAAATGAAGGCAATTATTAATAATGCAACTACTGAAACACATTTCAATGCACACAATCCAGTCATCCAGAAACGAGATTTTCTCACTTTAATTACCAATGTTTCCATTTCTTCTTGTTATTCTCCTCTTGTTGTCATGGAGCACTTCAGCTCATCATCCTCCAGAGGAATTTCTTCATTGCCTCTCCTTTCATTTTAAGAACCACTCTTCTATTGCAAAAGTCATTTACACGCCAAATAATTCTTCGTACTTCTCAGTTTTGAAGTCTGCTGCTCAAAATCTTAGGTTCTCCACACCATCTACCCCTACACCTTTGGCAATTGTAACACCACTGGACGCATCCCACATCCAAGCAACAATTTATTGTTCAAGAAAACATGGACTACAAATCAGAACTCGAAGTGGTGGTCATGACTTTGAGGGTCTTTCTTATACATCCAAAGTTCCATTTATCGTGATTGATTTGGTCAATCTTCGATCAATTGACGTTAACGTTGAAAAACAAACTGCATGGGTTGAATCTGGTGCAACTATTGGTGAATTGTACTATGAAATTGCTCAAAGAAGTAGAACTCTTGCCTTCCCAGCTGGTATTGGCCTCAATGTGGGTATTGGTGGGCATTTCAGTGGAGGAGGCTATGGCTTACTGTTTCGGAAATATGGTCTTGCTGCAGATAATGTAATTGACGCTCATGTAATTGATGTTAATGGGAGAATTCTTGATAGAAAATCCATGGGAGAAGATTTGTTCTGGGCTATTAGAGGAGGGGGTGGGGGTAGTTTCGGGATTGTCCTTACATGGAAAATAAAATTAGTTCCAGTTCCGGCAAATGTTACTGTTTTTACAGTCCGCAAAACATTGGAACAAAATGCGACTAAGCTTATTCATCATTGGCAATATATTGCACACAAGCTTCCGGAAGAAATACACATGAGCATCACAATATCGAGGGTGAACTCAAGTGCTCAAGATGAGAAGATGACAATTCAAGCATTTTTTAGTACCATGTTTCTTGGAGGCATTGATAAGCTTATTCCTTTGATGCAAGAGAGATTCCCTGAACTTGGAGTGGTGAAAGAAGACTGCCTGGAAATGAGTTGGGTTGAGTCTAATCTCTACTTTGCCCAATATCCAAAAGGAGCACCATTGAAAATTTTACTTCTGAGGAGTTACAAATCTCCTCTTTCCAATTTGTTCTTCAAAGCAAAATCTGACTTTGTAAAACAGCCTATTCCCGAAACCGCGTTTAAAGGGTTGTGGCCCAAGTTTTACGAGAAAGAAGCAAAATCTGCAGTTGCGGTGTTGGTAGCTTGTGGAGGGAAAATGGATCAGATTCTTGAGACTGAAACTCCATATCCTCACAGGGCTGGCAACATCTACAGCATCTTATACGTGTTGGATTGGGAAGAAAAACAAAATATAAACTCAGTAAGGTTCATAGGTTGGATGAGGAAAGTTTACAAATACATGACCCCATACGTCTCAAAATCTCCACGAGAAGCATATGTTAATTACAGAGATCTTGATATTGGGACTAATAACAAAGACAAAAGCTACGGCCATGCCCGTATTTGGGGTCTCAAATATTTTAAAAACAACTTCGATAGATTGGTGCGTGTAGAGACAATAATTGATCCCGAAAATTTCTTCAGGAATGAACAAAGCATCCCTCCTCTTTAGGCTTTGCGAAAGAAGCGACAAGCTGCAGGAGCAACCTCAATAGCAATGGAAGCTTAATTGTAGAATTTCTGAGACATACTACCTATAATAAAGATATTGTTATTATTTATCGGGTTTTCTATTGGGATTGATAAGGTATAAATTATACATATGCATCAAATATAAGTTTATGATAAATTTTCATATTTTCAGCCTTGGCGTTTTATTTAATCCCATATTGGCTTGATGATAAATGGTTTATCAAAGAACCAAATATGAAGTCTAAAATCAAACAAATTGTATACTATTTTTCTTTTTGCCAGAAAATTGTATAGTAATTCACTGTATCGAATAATAATTGCCAATTTAATAGTAAATTTTAATTAGGGACAGATAATTAATACATTCTTAATTATTGTATTAAAAAAATACATTATTAATTGTCTGAAATTGTTATTAGTCACATTTTAATTTGACTTTTCACAAGTATTTTTCTGTATACTTAGACTCTATTTTGATAAACGATGGAATTGATTTTATAATATTAAAAATAATAATAATTATTATTATAATTATAATTAAAAAAATTATTATAATTATAATTGAAAAAAATTAACAAAAAATTTATATTAAATAAATTTTATTAAAATTAATATTTGAATATAATTAATAATACAATAAACTTAATCACATGGCACCGCGCCGACAGAAGAATCCAAACTAATGCTTTATTGCCGTGGGAGGCCAATTAACCAAGAAAAGGTCTGCAAAGCGGAGTTTATTGTTCTCTTTAAGGGGTTTTTTTTTTTTTTTTTTGGGGGGGGGGGGGTTATTTTAGCCTTTAAAATATTTAAAATATCTAAAACATAGGAGGCTACTGTCTTTTGCAATGTATATTTAATTCTTTTGGGAATAAAATACTCGCTTGTGGCTCCATAAGCAAATGTCCATAAGAATTCTTTTTCATATCAATTTTATGAAAATAAAAAATAGAAAAAAAAAAAGTTCGTGGGGCGTGGGTGCTGGTGGGGGCAGCCAGCTACCCTTTTTTTTTGGCTCCATAAGAAAATGTCCATAATTTTAAATATGAATCAATATAAAAAAATATTTAAATTATATAATTTAAAATTTTAATAAAATTTATAAATAAATTTGATTAAAATAAAAAAGATATTTTTTATTTGATATATCAAAACTGAATTATGACATAAAATTTTATCTTTTTCAAATATTCAACACATTTAATACAAAATAAATACAATACAAATAACAAATTACTGGGAGGAAAGCGGAATATATATCCAAACCTTGCCATTTTGCTCATTTGCAAGGAGCAAAAGTTAGGGTGCGCAAGACTTCACATAAACATGCCAAATTATGGAAAATTATGTACAAGTGAAATCAAATATGGAAAAATACAGAACCCAAAGTGGTTTTTTTTTTTTTTTACACCAAACTACCACAGAAGGATGTCAAAAGAGTCAGCTTCAGGTCTCAGACTGGTCGGGTGACTTCTACAATCCATTAGCTGGACTTCGAGGCAAAGGGGCAGTACCTTCCTCTATGCCTATTTCTTTGACACCAGAGCTTAACGATGAAGATGAATCACCCTCCAAATCTTCATCTTCCTCCTCAAGGAAAGAACCCTTTCGTCGCAGTTCCTTTACCTTCAAAAACTCATCATAGTGTGCTTTTCGTTGCTCCTTAAAACTCATACCATTCCGATCTGTTTCAGAATCTGACAAAATGGAACAGACCAAAACCATCAACCACAGATTGTACACAAGATAATAAATTGTAAACTATTGATGACCTAAAAGACCCAAGATACATTGGGATGGTGGAGCGTAATGAAAGGTTTTTTTTTTGGCCATTTAATGTAAGGTGTTGAATCTTCATAATTGTTCAGAACTGGGTATAACAAGAAATTTAAGACATGTCATTTATTTCTGTTTACTTTCTCAGTAAGTTCAAATGCATTAGAGAACACCAAAAGAATCATACAAATGATCGGAACTAAGAGAAATGGCACAAGAAATGATGGAAAGTTCCAAGCAGTACATGAAAGCATATGTTTAGAAGCTATAACCCTCGTAACGATAATGTTCACATCATGAATCTTTCTAGACACAACAGCAGGTAAAGCCTGACCATTTAAAACAATCAGCCTCCCACACTTCCTCCCAAAAGAAGAAAAAAGTTCTTGAGATGATGAATTTCACTAGGAAAAACAAGAAAGTATTTTACCCATCAAAAGGCTGTCTACTAGAGCAAACCTTATATCATTTGCACTGACAATGATTTTCGCTCACTTTAAACCCTTGAATGATAAAGCAGTCATTAGACATGCTAACCAACTTAAAGTAAAACATTTTTCAATATGCTATGGAGAAAAGACAACTTAAAAGCATTGATTGTAAAAAAACCTTCTTCTTTGTGATCCATAGGTTCAGCCTCATCCTCAGAAGATGCCCAGCCACCAGAGCGCCCAGTTGTTTTTCTACTAGAGGAAGAGACATCCTTCAAAGCACAACGTAATTCTTCTGCATCCATGGCATCACCAATATAATCGTTGAAACTACGTCTTGCTGGAGACAAAGACCCTACAACCAAAATTCAGATTTTATGGTAAGAAATGTAACCCAATTTTCAGAAAAAATTCCCACCAAAAGCAGAAATAAAGTGAAAGCAAAACTAGACCAACACCATTCTCTAATATGCACACACATATCCAAACATAAAAGAATAAGCTTCTGCAGAAAGGAAATCATGAGTATACCATCATCATCAATCATGGGGTGGTACGGCGTCTTGGGTTCAGTTATTTTCTGCCTTACAGGTTTATTTGCTTCAATTTCCCCAAGATTTTCCTCATCCCATCTTACACGCCTACTGTTACCCCAACAAAGAATTATTAGATCCAAAGCACAACTAGTAACTATAAAAAACTACGAATCTTTCTTCAGCAACAAACTATATTGGAATAAAAATGGAAGCAGAAAACCAAGCAAATATAATGCAAAATGAGAATAAACTGAAAAACAGCTAATACTTGACCACTCGAGTCAAGAAACTGGAACTCCAGCCATAGCCTAATCAAGGTAGTGATAAGACACTGATTTCTAGCTGAGTTTACCATATCCTTCCTCATTAAAGACTTACATCTACATAGTGCATTGCCACTTAGTACAACATATATATAACTAAAATGGGAACATTTACCCCATTTTTTTCTGGGGCAATAGGCTCAGCTACAGTTATATCAAACCATTAACTAATACTTTCAAGAGCCTTTTCTTAAATGTAGAAATTCCTTATGTATTAAGTAATTTGAACAATCCACTCTCCGTTAAAATGAACAATATGCATGGTCAATATACTAAAGAAAGCAATATCTAGAACTACTTAGCTGAAACCTAAATAGGGAGAATACAGGCTAAGAATTGCAGCTGAAGACATTGGGGTTGTAAAAAATGCAAGAAAATGCATCAAACATAGCAATAACTTCCTATCATATGATATCAAGAATAATGAGAAAAACAATTTAAATATCTACAAGTTAACCACCAATCAACCATACATCCCATCCATATCCTTCCAGAAGAAAAAAAAAAGGAAAGGAAAGAAAAGAATATGAGAAGATATCAGGAATTACTTCATCTGGAAAACTCCTGAGTGCCAACAGCAAGCTTCAAATAAACCTGATCCACTGAAATGTTATAATAATCACTACTCAAAACTTTAATATATGGAAAACAAAGCATGTAAACTATTATGCAGATATCTACTACAGAGTGATATGACTGATTCATGCTATAATCAAGCTTGTCTAGGCTGTTATTTATGCAAAACATAAGAGTAGAGAAGAAAGAATCAAACCTGAATGAGTTGAAAGGAAAACAATGTTTGGACTTGATAAAAACAAAAATTGAGAAATTAGGTACTAGTAAAGAGCAGAGGATATAACACCAAATTGTGTCAAAAGCATAACTAGATAAACTCAGGAGAAAATTATGTCAAACCTAATAACAGAAAATGCTAATAGTATCCATGAGAGGAAGAAATAACACAGAATTGTCCTGACATAAACTAAAAAAATTCCCGACAGCAGCTTCATCATGAGAATTACTGGCAGCAAAGAAATCTGATTATCCTAGGGCTATATTCATCAGCTACTCTAACTAGCTTTGTTGAGTTGCAGGGACTCTCAATTCCCGATTGGAAACCCTAATAAGCCCAATGATTTGAGGTTTACCGTTATTACAATCCAAAATGATGAAAACAAGGACAGGCAGAATATACCTACAAGCAAAATGGACCGTGCCTAAGCCAATGACCTATTCTATGAGTCAAGAAAAAAAGAGAATGAAACCGAAAGTGAAAGCATAGATTACACAACTAAAAAACTAAAAATCCCTAATTAAAACAATATGCAAGTAATTAAACCTAGAATCAGAAGGGCAGTGAAGCGAAGGGCGAAACCCCAGGATAAAAAGGAAGCAATAATCCATTGAATGAACCATATAGAAATAACTAAATCCAAACCATTAATTCAATCCAAGGATAAGCCTATATAACTCAGTTTGGTTGATGAGAAAATGCAGGAATAAATACAAGAAAACGGTCAAATTAACTCCAACAATCATCAACAATCCAAAAAAGATATCCATTTCTTTCTCTTTCCACCGAACGAATTTAAATTACACGTCAAAAAAAAGGAAAAAGGAATTTGCGAGAGAAATTTGTACCTTTCGATCGCTCCTCTCGAGTAGCAAAGTTCCGCGAAAATGTTGTTTTTGGGGTCAGCCTTATTATTTTTCTCGTTTCTTGACATTTTATTATTTCGTTTTCCCGATTCTACCCTTTTACCTTTTCCAATTACGGGTTGAATTCGTATGCAATGGAGTTACCGCCACCTTCTGTTTGTTTGACTTTTACATTGACGTCAGAGTCATAAGTTTTAACGATCCCCCTAGATCTTGCCAAGAAAGCGACTTGTGGTCCATTGACATGGCCCAAGGGCAACACTGGAATATGAATGTTGAGGCACCCAGGCAGCCAAAAATTGTCAAGGAAAAACATAAAGGGGATTTCGTTGCCAATTAGAAGCAGCAGCAGCTCTCATTTTTTAAAGGGCTTAACGGCAGGAGTAGTCAGAATCCTGCGATTGTTTCCGTCGAAAGTAAGGATTTTTTGTCATATTTCTTGGAAATTTTATTTGCTTTACTGTGACTTTCTTTGGATCTAAGCTCTTCGTTCTTTCTTTTTTCTTATACCTAAATATTTGACAACTTTTTTCACTTTTGATCCGGTAGTTCTCGTCATTGATTTTTTTTTTAAAATCTTGCAAAGCTGTTAATTTTCTTCTAATCTACGCTTCTTCTATACTGAATTCATAGTTCAACTTTTTGGTTTTCTTTTTGTTCTATGAGATGAGATCTCAGCCTTATCTTTCCAGTGCTCAATTGGATCCAGTTCATTCATAGTTATTGTCAATTTTAATTTTGATTTCCTTACAAATTTAAAGTTTAAATTTTTGAAGAGATTCATTTGTGGCATCTTAATTGTTAATTCTGTTAGATTTGGCATGTTAATCTTTTGGAAGGAAGCAGTGAATGTTGAATGTTAGTGGCATCTTGAGAAGTTTGATTGAATAGTAGGAAAAGCTGTAAAAGAAGGAAAAGTTGTTTTTTGCTGATAATTCGCTGAATAGAATGCTTCTGAAATGTTTTCCGGACAAGTTATCGATGACTTAGATTATAAGAGTTGTTGCTGAAATAACTTGAGCAATGAAAACTAGGACATTGAACAATCTGTCGATGACTTAACTTGGCTGGGTATTTGACTCTGCTAGCTTTTATCTTTTAATTAATTCTTCTTGTTTGCCTTGTAATATTGACTCACTTCTATTTTCAGGAGTCGGGACTGTAAATTATGACAACAAGAGACAGTTATTTTTAGTTTTGAAGGTCGGTAGGTACAAATAATTGATAAGAGTAAAAAAGGCAGAGATGTTCTCACTCTTTTATGGATTTTGGAAGTACCTATTTAGTAAGACAGAGTTTCATGTACTCATTCTTGGAATCGACAAGGCTGGGAAAACAGTAATGTCTCTAAACTTATCTCTTGGGTTTTAAAATCAATCTTCTATTGGGCCCTGACAGATAATTACTGACTGTGTAGACTTCGTCTATATTGAACTATTTGCTAAAAGTTTCAGCACTAATCTCTTTTGTTATTTGTAAATTAGACTTTGTTAGAGAAGTTGAAGACCGTATACTCAAACTTGGAAGGCCTACCACCTGATCGAATTGTTCCAACTGTGGGACTTAATATTGGTCGGATTGAAGTGTCAAATACGAAACTTGTATTATGGGACCTGGGAGGCCAGGTAAGTGGAACTGGAATGCATACAGACACACACAAACGCAAAAACAGAAGATATTTCTTTAATTATTTACTATGGTGATTTGAATGCACATATAACTTATGCTCTTTGAATGCTATTTCTAACTTTTGTGCAATTGAAAGCTTTCAGTCTGTTCACTTATTTTGCTGCAATGTGTTTTTAATAGAACTTCTCTAACTCAAAGCACCTTGTTCCACTATTATTGAGATGTATATAAGGGAGTTAAACTGACAATATGCAGTTAAACTGACAATATGCAGTTGCAATGTTTGATGCTAAAACCTTAGCATTTGATTTTGTAGTTTTAACTGTAATGTTATGCAAAAAACATACATTCAAAGCAAGCCCAAATGTGACTTTTTTTTTCCTATCTTTCCTAGCCTGGTCTTCGCTCAATTTGGGAGAAATACTATGAAGAGGCGCATGCTGTGATATTCGTAGTGGATGCTGCTTGTCCTTCACGTTTTGAAGATTCAAAATCTGCACTTGGTAAGTAATGCCTAGTTGTTTAATGATATGGGGCTTATGCTGTTATAGTGCCAGGGTATTATATTAGTAATACCTTCTATTTTGTATCTAGAGAAAGTTCTTAGACATGAGGATCTGCAGGGAGCCCCTCTCCTGATATTAGCAAACAAGCAGGTACGTTTAGTCCCAATCCCAAAACCCCAAAATCCTAGTTACTTATATTTTTATTTGACAGTGAAAATTCTTCCCTTTTTCTTCAAAACTTGAATGAAAAATCCTTGCTGCATATTATATATCTCTCCTTAAAATCATTCTTGTTTATTTCTGCATTTAGTACCTTACCTGTGGCATTTTTATCTTTTTGGACTTGGAAATATCTGGTTTCATGTCAGCCTGAATGAACTTTATTTAGCATTTAGAAAGAAGGGGGCAAAGGAAAAAGTGTTCCACAAAATGGAAAGATCTTGAGCTTTGTAACTGTTATATCTGCTTTCCTTTTATTCTTTATGAGAAACGGTATGGTCAAGATTTTCTTCTATCAATTTTCTTCTATCTCCTGTTTTGAATTTGAGTGGACTGTAGTCACTGTTTTTAACACTTGTGCTTCATTGCAGGATCTCTCTGAAGCGGTATCAGCTGAAGAACTTGCCCAATATCTGGATCTTAAAAAATTGGATGAAAGGGCTTACATGTTTGAGGCTGTTTCTGCTTTTGATGGGTAAGTTTTGTTCATGAAAATCTTGTGTTCATCAAGTTTGGGCTCCATTTGTCTGCCTGTCATTATAACTTTCAAGTTTACCTTAAGTTTACAGAAGATATAAACATATCAGATTTTTTTTTTTTTTAACTGCAGGATGGGGATTAAAGAAGCTGTGGAGTGGTTGGTTGAAGTAATGGAGAGAAGCAAAAGAACTGAGACGTTGAGAATTCGAGCAGGTGTAACCGGTCCTACTTAGAGCTTAAAGGGAAAGATACCAAGTTGCAGTTGCTTTGCCCTGTTTTTGTATCTTCTGTAAATAAATCAGGGTTGACATTGGATTTTATATTGATTAAAAGTTAATCAATTTTTTCCATCCTCTGCCAAGTTATACTTTTTTCTATTGTTTTAATGATGTGTGAAATTCAGATTATACTTATGAGTCTTGCAAGTTCTTGCCATTGAAATGGCTTCTTAATTCTCATTCATACTAATTGTAAAAGATGCTATTTTATATGAGAAAAGAATTCAATCTGAAAGGAGTTCTCATTCATCCAAATGGGTCTTGGTTGAACTGTTTTTGCATGCAGTAGGGAGTAAGAACATTATTTAGATGCCAAAGCACAAAGATGAGTATTGACCATGACGATCAAGGGGCAATGCTAAGTAACTAAGGTAACCAGTGATCCTAGGAGTGAGTGAACCATTTACCAACTCATTGGAGCAAATTATTTTGTTGGTAATCATTCGCTCACTTTTTGGCAATACCGTTATTTGTTCTCTCATAAAACTCTTCAAGGCTAACTTCAAACAGCTCCCTCTCAAGCATCATTTTAACCTCCAAACACCATTTGCCAAACAAGAAAATTACACCCAACAATATCAAGGGGCAGAAGACAGCATTTCATGACATAGAAGCACCAAGGAACATAATTTAGCTGACTTTTAGAAAGTTAGAGTTAGATACAATTCGAATTACCCCACAAATTGATTCACCTCTTACAAAACTAAACTGCTCTAATTGTCCAAAATACCGTCATTGGATTTCATACTGATTGCTTTTGTGTAGCAGCTGCTGCAGCATTAGCCTTTCCCTTAACGACAGGCTGTGGTCCTGTTCAAATGGACAAACAAAGTGAGGAGATGTTAGACAGACTTCTCCAGCAAAAGAACACAAAAAACATCCATGCTTGATTAGGTTCTCTATGTCATTTTCATGGTTTTTGTTTCCACCTCAAAAACTCCAAATGGTTAAAAGTTTAAAATTTTCAGAAATTATTCGGCAAGTTTAAAACGAAAATGTTCAAATAGCTAACCAGAAATCAAGGCCTTGGGCCTGTTCTTGAACAAAATCTTGTGGCGAATTATTCCAACAACATCGAGCTCCACCCTTGATGAAGAAGTAGCCTCATCACTTTGGTCGGTGCCCATGCACTTGATTTTCTTGAGAACCAACATGGGCTTCTTCAGGGCCACTTTTGAGCCTGTTAATTCATGATACCCGACCGTGAAAGTGTAATTCTCCTGCAGATTTATTTAACATAAGGGTCTGTCTGTCAATGAGATTTTTAATTAGTACTATTACAGTAATAATCTAAAAAAAAAAAGAAAGAACCTGGGAAGAAGGGCGGCAAAGCTGTCCGATTCGTAGGTTTTGGAGAGAATCTTGGAAGGAAGGCTGCACTTCAACCACGCCTTGCAATTCGATTATTGCCCATTCAGGGCAGTTCTCTGCTCCACAGCTACATTTTACCTGGATCTGCATTCTTTTTTTCACTTTATCTGCAAAAACGACAGCGATGAGTTAGTAATAATTATGATCGGATTCATTGAAAATTCCTCTCTTCACAAGAAAATTAGGGAACATTTACTTCGACGAATTTCAATTTGATAGCGAAAAGCAACAACCGGAATGTCGCGGGTCTTAAGTTGGAGGACGCTTCGACAGAAAATAAGGAAACACGTTTTGTCTGCACCGATTTTACGATTGAAACGACGTTGTTTGAGTATCAGATTTCAAGTTGTGTGTGTGTATGTGTTTTTTTCTAACGATTTTGGTTTGTTTATTGTGGATTTAAAAGGTTTCTTGCATTTAATGTTTAAAACTTAGAACCATCAATCTCAAATTAGAATTATAAAATGGGTATAATAAAATTTATGAATGAAAAAAAAAAAAAAACACTCTCATTTTATAACTTACAATTATACATTAAAAAAAATTAAACCTTAGGTTTGGCTTTGCCAGTAAAAAGAATAGTTTTGGCTTTGTTAAGCAAATTTAGATTACAAGTTTCAAATAAATTTGATGAAATTTAAAGGTTTGAAGAAATATTTACCACATTTCATGGGTAGAAGTGGCAATTAAACACCAATTAGGAAGGGGAAAAAATGATAATCAAGAAAGCAGAGCAGTCATACATTGGCACTACAGTTTAGTATCTAACTACAAATTCCACAAAATGTCTTACTGCCAAGCTAACTAGTGGGCTTAACGATGCAAACCTCATTCTACAACTATGTGTACCCAAGTGGGAAACAACAATTATACTGCAATGTGAAACAATGAAACATAGAAGGAAATGTTACAAGGTTAGTAGTCTATTCTAAATTCTAGCAAGTTTCCTGAACTATACACAGAAGATGATGATAGCCTTCAGCATTCATGGCCTCCCTCCACTGCGACTATGAGTACAATTAAATATAGGATTTATAATAGCATGTTCTTTAGACATAGATTTCTCTGTGACATCATATTGCTGGCATAAGAAATCAGTTTGGGAGAAGTTATCTATACCAACATCTGGCAGGGTAAAGTGATTACTGGATTGGGTCAGTGAAGAGCTCGGTTGCTGCTTAAAATAATCCTGATTCTCCAGATCGTACTCAACGGGAATTGCCCCAGTGAGAGTTTTTATTGCAAATTCGATGCAAGGGTCTGCCCATATATCTGCCATCGGCATATCAAGGGATGGCCAAAGTGTCTCATCAGTCTTCTGGCCTTTTTCAACCTTTCCAGCATGTTCTTTCTGAATAGCCGGGTCTGCTATAGGCATATTGATACCACAATCATGTTTTTCAACACTCCTATATCCATTTTCATCCCTTTCAGCATGAACTTCTGGAGTAGCCAGAACCCCTGGAACTTTACTACTGTTTGACTCAGAGATTTTTGGAGTATCACAGGGTATTCCAGTGAGCGTTTGAATGGCAAACGCAATGCATGGATCTGTCCATAAATCTGCAAGAGGCATATCAACAAGGGATCCTAGCACGTCACTAGCTTTATCACGTTCAACCTTTCCAGAATGTACTCCTGGATTAGCAGCATTCCCCAGAGGCAAAACACCTTTATCTTCATCATCTTTTGTTTCTAAATTTCCAACATGACTGTTCACTGCTAGCATGTCCCAAGGAGAAAGAATGTTATTTGGTGCCAGTATCAGTTCTTTACTCTTAGAAGCATCAAAGGCGAAGCTTGTTTCCAGAGCAGACTCAAGTTGATCAGGCTGTTTGGAGGCCCTATGGATACAGCTAACAGGGAAAGAATTCTCAGCTGCATCAGGTACTATTTCACTTAATTGCTTAATTGAAGATCGGCGAGCTCTAGTAGTTTTTATTTCTGGTGTTGGATCAAGTGCAACACCAGCAAGTCGCTTGGAAGCTCGTCGAGGAATATTAAGGGCTTTTTTAAGCTTGGTCTTGCCCCTTCCCTCTTGGGTTTTTTCAGTTTCATCCTTTGTCATTCCATTTTCTCTAGACTGTTTATCTAAGAGAACTCCGACTACATTGCCTGAAGCATGCACACCTTCTTTAGAATCTTTTACTCCTATTTGCTCAGAGCCTTTAGCTTCTGACAGGATCAAGCTGCTCAATTCAGCACCTACTCCAGCGGTTGCATGAAAGAGAAATTAGATCAGATGCATTACTCTATCCAATGTCATCAATAAGCATATCAGTTGAATACAACACCCCAACTTTCAACATCAAACAATCTATTACCAAAGATTAAACAATATATCTTGTTCAATTATATGTTCACCAAATGTTCCATATCAACTTGTTCAGAATTTCGGATCATATCTCATTAGAACAATACCATAGAACTCTGGATCCACCTCCCTAAAAATGATAAGATAAGAGATAAAGCAAAATGAAAAATGAAGAGAAACATCAATTATTGGGAAAGAATAACAATGACATTAACCAGAGTTTCAGGAGATCATAAATTTAAACCTTTATGCTGATCAGGAGTGTGTTTAGAGAGGGATGTCTGTCCTCCTGTACTGGCAGAAGTAAGCATCTCTTCTTCCTTTATTCTCCCACTCAAATTTGAAACCTGTTCTGCACTCTGTTTCTCAGTTTCATCAGTTGTTCCATTCACAGCTACCTTCTGTCCCTCGACAATTGCAGGCTCCTAAAGGACGGAGGAAAAAATATCAAGAACAGGTCATTTTTTTTTTTTTTACATAATTCATATCCAGATAGGCCACCTGAGAACAATTTCTTGAGGAAAGAGATATAAATGCTGCTACAAGCACTAATTTAGGGTGACACCATTCAATAGATAAGGCAAATCTTTGAAGTGATTGGTTATTTCAGTCTTGAACTTGAAGGGTTATATATATCTACATCAGATGTCAACTTAAGTGGCATTGTATGATGGTACCAAAGTTTTGGATACATGGACTTCTGCAGAATCCTAAAATAAAGATTGACCAGATGAAAAGGATCTGATGAAAAACTAGTCCATCTCATTTTAACATGTCATCCATTTTGACTGTTGACGTATTTCTGCAAGTCTGCAACTGGATTCTGACAATCATTATCATTTCAAAGAGACAAAGAGGCAACATTCAAGCAGCACAAGCTGGTTTCTTGATAACTGTATGCTCTTATTAAGGAGCATTAGCCCCACTACTTCAACAGAAATGATTGACAAGAAGGTGAAGAAGCAGTCTAAGAATAAAGAAATTCAACCATGAAAAGCTTTAATGTCTCTAGTGTACTTGTGGACTAACTTCAAGTCTAGGTGCTTTCAAGGTTTAGAAGCCTTGCTGAATCATAATTTCTCATAGTCACATAATTTAGGCTCTAAATATGTGTAAGCATATGCATCCAAGATGTACAAAAGAAATCACCAAAAATGTATATAATTACACACAAACATCCATATACATATACATCGATTCCAGACATACACACCCAAAGCATAATCCAATCATCAAGAGAAAGGTACAAACCAATGGCTCCAAGAGAATTTCAATTTTAGGAAAACCCGTAATAAGACAAAATATTAACTTGATTTTCAACTTCATACGCTGGGTGAAATGCAAGAATTTGTCTCACAGATTTCTTACTGCAACTATTTACAGCAGGTTGTAGCCAATAACATGTAAATCATTAACCGTTCACAGGAGTGGCATCATTATGTTTATCCCAATTTTCTAAAGGCAGAGTGTGCATTTCAATACAAATTTCCATCATCCTAAGACTTGGGCTAGAGTATAGTTGAAAATAACCAAACGTAAAAGAGTACTGCTGATAAATCCAATTGACTGATAAGTATAAACAGGAAAATTAAAAAATAGAGGGACTATAGATAAGCAAAGTTTTATATAGAATTAACTGAGAAATGCAAATATAGAAACTTGGAGAAACCAAACATGATTATACATACACAGATATTATCATCTTCAAAGTCCTCATCATTGCTGCCTTTGTCCTTAGGCTTGAATGCAAGCCTTCCAAGCTCCCCAGTTTCAACATAACGAAGTGCATCCTTCATGGAACGAAATACATATCCACTCACAGGATCAGTGTAAAACTGCAGAAATTAAATATCACTTAATGTAGCAGTGACCAAAAGCTAATAGGCAAGGCAAGTAATCAATTTCAAAGCAACAATAACTGAAAGATCGCCGACCAACACCAATCAATGTTCATGACTATGACAGGAGTCACAGGACAAGGATGTTCACAATAAAATACCAGTAATATTTCTTAGAAAGCATGTAGACAAATATAAGAAAAAAAAAGGTTTTAATACTGGATCTTTTCTGACTCTATTTGCCCTCTTTGTTATCCTCACTTCCTTAGTCCATCCTGGAGGTAACCCTTCTGCTGCAGCCTTCTCAACCGTAATCTATATTGCTTGAACAATAAAAAATTTTCTTGTTTATACAACAAATTTTGGCAAAAATCTACATATGAAGTTATAAACAAAAGGCAAAGTGCAGATTCATCAGCAGACATTTTTTGAAGATTGCTTGCCAGAGCCTTTTTCCTTCTCTTCTGTTTTAGAACCACAATTGTCAAGATAGCGAGACACCTCTGCCCTGGAAAAGAATCTAAGTTCACCACAGGGAGCATAGTAACACTGCAATAAGCCCAAATGTCATGTAAGCTTTGAATGGATCATCTTGCATTAAGAGTTGTTGCCAATAAGATGTTTTATTTGTTTGATGCATCCACCATAACTCTCAACTAGTATTCAGAAATCAAGAAGAGAAATAATTCAGAAGTACTGCTATGCCAAAACAAATAAACATGTACAAGACAATTGAATACAGAGAAGAATATTGATGTATGCAGGTGGATCCAATGTGTTATACTGAAGAAACTGGCAGCAAATAAAGATTATGAAAAGGAAGCATAACATATACAAGTATTTACCCCTCACTTGAACACAATATTGTTTGATCTCCTATTATTTTACAGGAAGAAAGAGAAAGGTAGATTATAGAAAAGCATCCTCTGCTCCAGATAAAGACGAAGATAAATGGATAAAGGGCAGTTAAATGCATCTCAGAACTCTAATAAAAATTCTTCTCACAAGGCATCCCGCATGTCATTGGAGATCTATCATCAAGCATGCGCAATGCAGAAGGGCACTAGAAGGACACCTTTTACAGTTGACTTCTATATCTCCAAGATCGTGAAAATCAGTTTTTTCCTTCTCAAAACTCTTCCAATTCAACATTGTTCTAGTTACTATTTTAGTTTATCAATCAGTATATTATGTGATATATAACAATCAGTATATTATGTGAGTGATATGACGATGGTGCACACATTTACTTTCTAATGATTTGATTTTCTATCAAAACCTAATCTCTCACAAATTTGATTTTCAATAAGTTCAAGAAATTCACAGTCCACCTAAAGCTTTACACAAGTTATCCAGAACAGAAGCATTTGTTTCCTTAAAAATGAAACAAGTTAACATCCACTAAACCTCTCCATTAACCAATAATTCCTGCATCATAAACCCTCCAAGGCTCCAACAATTACAACCAAATGCATAAAATAGTTGTTACTTTATACAAGCGCTCAAGCAGAGAAGGAAAACCGTTCTTATCTAACCTATCCACAAAAAAAGAGGGAAAACTAAATAATAATAATAATAATAATAATAATAATAATAATTATTATTATTATTATTATTATTATTATTATTATTATTATTATTGAAGGTGTTAAATACAGCATTTACAATGGTCAAATCAGGAAGAAATTTACAGTTGAAGTTAAAGATCTTATCTTTTTCATGCTATAAACTTATAACACAAAATAATAATACCAACTACTAATGAAGCAAAAAAGAAAAAAAGACAGAAACACAAAATTCAAGTCCCAGAAGTAAACTTAGGTAAAACAAACCAAGGATCTTACATTCCTAAAGCTAAGACCTCAATATCAAACAAAACAGCTAGAAATAGGTAGAATTTTGAAACTGGGATTTTTTTATTAACTGAAATAACCAATTTACACTTACCTTATCTTTTTTACCACTCCTTCTCTGTCTCGCCTCCACTTTCCATCCAGGTGGTAGCCAGTCATCACTTTGCTGGTCCTCCATTTTTTTAACAAGTCTCAACCTCACGCTAACAACTTCCGGCAACAAGGGAAAGAAGAAGAAGAAGGAAAAAATGAATAAATGGGTGTTTCTCTTTATTATGTTTGTGCCTCAATGAGAGTCAAAAGCCTCAAAAAAAATTTAAAAAAAAAATGTGAAAGTGTAAATTCAGACAAAAGGGTTTCCTCAGAAACCACGTGTTGCCGAACTTCCTGTGTTTAATTGGAGATACGTTTGAAACGTGTCCTCTCCTACCCTACGGTTTTGTATTAGCAGGAAACAGCATATTCCTTCAGTTCTCTTCTTATCTTAAAATTTTTTACCTGTCAAATGCAGTCAAATGTGAAGTGGTGAAGCGTTAAGATTTCGTGACAGTCGCTTCGTTGGGTTGTAATCTTTGGACCAAACTGTCCCTGTTGTCGTCAAATACGAACTTATTTATGGATATTCATAATGATAATGGTGTATCCACAATCAATGATGGCAGGCAGGGAAGTGATTTGGTGGAGAAAACGGGATGAGATTGGTCCAATATCGTCCGATCAGAATTACGAAGGCCGTTGACACACTTTGAATTTTTTTTTTTATCGTGTGGTTTGAAAGTAGGGAATGATTTCTTCGCATAGATTTGGGAGTCGTGAGTTTGTCGTCTAGTACTTTCGCACTCTTATCGGTGTCTATCTACCGAGTCAGTGATGTGTACAGTACAGTTGAAGATGGGCCTCTTTGCCCCAATGGACTCCTATGATTGAAAATGTGTAAAGGATGTGGGCCCAAAACCCAGATCTTGCCTAATCTCTTAACTATCCTTAGCCTAGTTTCCTTAAGAAGATTCAACTTGAATTTATTATAAGAAAAAGAAAAAAAAAAAAACCTATTCGAGCTCAAAGGATGTTTAAGGAAAATCTTTGACTAAGTTTTACATTGAATAAGATCAATTAAAGCTTCAAATCATCTTTCAATTCAATGAAAATTTGAATTGTCAAATGCATCTTACTTCATTTATATCTGTTAAGTTATTCTAATAAATTAAATTTTAAGTTTTTTTTATTGTTTTATATTTAAGTTAAATTTTTTTACTTATTTATTAATTAGTTTAGATTAAATATTTAATATGATATCAAAATTAAACTTTTACTTTATTATTCTTACTTCATATTTTTTTAAAAATTTATCATGTGATAAATTATTTTATTTTCAATTTACACGTGATGGTGTGATCTTATTCAATATTTATTAAGTTTCAAATTTTTTTTGATTTTATATTTAAGGTAATTTTTTTATTTTATATTTAATTGATTTAAAGTTTTGATTCTTGAAAGCTTAATCATAATTAGAAGGGAGTGTTCTTAGAATTGAAGAAAATTTACTCTTTGACTCTCTCTCCTCAATTATTTTAGAGTTATTTTCACAGTTAAAGTTAGGCTATTGAGTAGATTAAACAGTTTTAATTCAAATTAACTTTTTATTAAAATTATTCTTTATTCGCATGAAATTATCAAATATGCATGGTCAAATTAATCATGTCTACATTTTGGGTGTTTCAAGTTTAGACTATCATAGATTTATAAATTTGTATTTGCATAGACGGATTCAAGATTTTTCTTCGATGGGGGACAAATTTATTATATAATATATTTACTTAAAATTTGTTATTTAATACAAAGGTAATGTTTTCTATATGTAAAAAGACTTTTAATAAAAATTTTAAAGTATTTCTTACAATATTAAATAAATAAAAAGTTTAAATAGAAATTAACATAAATATAACAAAAAATTATAATATTAAATACATAAAAAATTAAAATTTCAAATAAACACAAACACATAATATTATTATTTTTCAAATGAAAATAGTTCTATATAATTGAGTTGGATAGTTTTCATAGGTAAAAAATATAAGATTTTTTTTTTCATTGTTAGTATTAAAAGATATATAATTTATTTCAGATATTTCTTTTAAAATTCACTTTCTCTTACTAATGATATCTGTCCTTGACTAATTTAAATGCTCTATAGTTTATAAGATATAAGATAAGATATGAAACTAAAAAATAGGACCAACAACATGTTATTTTTATATTTTTTTTAACTTTTTTAATAATTTTAAAATTGATGCTATTTTTTTTTTCTAAATTTTAGATTTTGTTAGAGTACCTCTCTACAACTTTATTAGATTATATCTATGCAACATTATTTTATATCAAATATATTATTATAAATTCTAAATAATATTAAATAAACACCTTATTACATTATCAATATAAAAGAAAAACAATAAGAGAAGAAAGCACTTTGATATGTTAAAAATAAATTTTAAATTATGAGTGTTATGTTGGGGTTTCATTTTACCCATTATTTATATTTTATTATACAAAATTATTTTAGTTTTAATTTTGCCTTTTTTTTTCTCTTTTATTGTTTGATTTGGCAACATTTTTACAATAATATAATCATATTTTACATTAGTTAAAAAATAAAGTTTGCAAATAGAAAGAAGGGACAATACACAAATGAGGCAAAAAAAAATATATATATTAGGCTATGACTTAAGTTAGCCAGAGTGAAGCTTATATAAAATAATTATTTATAAGCTAAAATTTATTAATATTTACATTTAGTACTTTTTTTTCTTTTTAAATAAGTCAATTTTTTTTTACTAAAATATATTTATACTTTATAATATTTTTAAATCCTTCTCGTTTATATTTTTTCCTCTTTCAATTTAGTAAGAGCAAAATATTAAAATTTTAAAATTTTTGTCTAATATCATGATATACTTAAAAAAAGATTTTATGATTTCAGTGGAAGTAGTTGCCTTTATTATCCCAAGTGTGAATCCCTACCTAGACATTTGTATACTAAAAATTTGGTCATTGTGGATCTTTAATTTTATTTAACTTTCCCATTCTTTTATACCATTTGAACCTTGTAATAGTAAATAGAAAATTTTATGTGAAAAGATCTTGCTTTGAAGCTGTAAGAAATGTTATACAACATGAAGCTTGAATCCAAACTAAGAAGTTCGAAAGATTGAAACAGCACGGTAAAGAAAAGCAAAAGTTTATAAGATTCGGAAACTGCCAAGATATGAGATTACCCTAGTGCCATAAAACTTTTTCCCATTTGATCAATTTTGAGTTTAGGGTTTATGATTCAGCATCTTCTAATCCACTAACATTTCTAAATGTGCTTTCAAGTCAACTGCAATGTTGTTAAAGGGCCCAAACTCATTCCTTCTAAAGAGTAAAAGATCAAATTCGTTGACGGCAAGGAAACGTGTCGTAAGGCACACAGAAATTTAGAGGAAAATAATTTGAGAGTCAAGAAAATTAGCTAATTTGTATTTATCTAAGCATAACTGGTGATATGACATCCATGAAGAATCAGACTGAGGAAATGTTCAAAGGTCTATAGAAACCTGCTGCACTTGTTTATGGAGCTATCAAATGAATCATGCTTCATTGACATGATTATTAAAACATTAATTTATATGTTAATAAGTTGTATCAATCTATTATTATTATTTAATATGTTGTATTTATATGATTCTTAAAAATTAAGAGTATAATTAAACAAATATATAATTATAATTCTTATGGATCATGTCATGCTTAGTATGTACTTTTTTGTACTATATCAATTCAAGTACGATTTTATTAATAATTTTTAAAATTTTTAATATTTTTTTAATTATATTTAAAAATTAATATATAAAATTAATACATGTAGTTCATAATTCATATAGTTTGATAAAATATCTATATTTATATTCAAAAGTAAAAAATTTTATCAAAATAATATGTGAAAATTAATAAATACTACTATTATATCTCTAAATTTTGAAAAATATGTAAATCATATTATTTTTTTATTTTTCATTTTCACCAAATGATGATTTATTCCTATAATGTGGTCTGGCTTATTTTTTATTTTTTCATAATTAATCTTTAAAAAATATACATTTCATAATTCTTTTAAAATGATAAATCAAAAGGAAAAATTATAACTTTATCTACTAATAGTTTAAATACTTTATAAGAATATTTAATGATACAATTTAATTTTTATAAATTACAAACATAAAGTATCAAAAAGGCAAAAAAATGTCATCATATGATAAGAATAATATGAAATACAACTAAGGACCAATAAATAAAATTCATTTATAACATTTATGAGCAAACGCAATACAATATATTAGTGTTAATAAGTCGTGCTATGTCAGCTCATGTGCCACACATGCTGACACTAATCCTTAATAAGTCATGCCTTGTTAGTTCAATAGACTTAAAATGTCTAACCCAATATGATACAAGTATATAAATCATACTTAATATGGCCTGTGATTATAGCAATGGATCATGCTTGCACAACCTATATCATACCGAATTACGCCGTGTCATGAGCTGGCAGCTAATTTGACGCCTATATTTATGTATAAACTCAGGCACATATAGTTTTAAGTTCAAAAGGATAACAAACTCTGATCAACAGAAAACCTAGCTCTTAAACTGAAAATGGTAAGAAAGGCCCTGTTCTGTATCTCTATTATCTTGGAGAAGAAATGGAATTTTGTTACAACCAGACACAATCAATTATGAAGTGGGTTTGGTCCACCAGGGACAAGTCGATGTGAAACTGCGTGCAGTAAGCTGATCATTTTGCTGGTGCCAGGCTTCCCCAGGCTATGGATGGCAGAAAAGCTTCTTAGGAATATGGGAGAATACTTGTCTCTCAATCTTTGATCAATTTCTTTACTGGTTGCTTGGTTGATATGTCGGCAACTGGTGACTCGAATAAATCCTAGGATAACGAAAAAAGTAAGAAAAATGAATAGAGAGCTTTGAGCTCTCATGGTGGGGAAAGAGAAAAGAAGAAGAGAATCTAATGGTAGAGGAAACAAAGGTGTTTTTCTTGTTTGTCTGTGTTGGTAGCCTAGAAGTCTATATATAAAAGGATTCAGCTGACATGTGACGAGCAAAACTTTAACATTTCAAGGACTAAAAATTCAGAATTCTCCATAATACCTTTGATGCACTCGTATCTTCTGTACACATCTCCAAAATGTCAAAGGTTGACTTCTGGAAGAAGTCCCTACCAGGGTACCACTTGTGTATTGTTTATGCTAACGAACTGCTAAATTCTTTTATTAGAGTTTTCTTTTTGTGTAAAAAACATGTTGACAATAAAGCAATTTGGAGCTTTATCATTATATATGCATTTGCCAATGTTCATGCATCTCCTGGTACTGTTGTATGTGTTTGTTGAGAAAAAACAAATACGATAGTATTTTATGATTCTATCATTTTCCATCGGGAGAAAGACAATATAGCGAAGTTCCAAAACAGATTGCCTGAGCCAGTAAGGCATCTTGGAGAATAAGATAGGCGAAGACCAAAAGTAAACAAAGAAAAATTATGCGTCCTGTAATTAATTTTCTTCATTATAAATGTGTTTATAGCCAAAATGGTGTTATCAGCGGGCAAGCTACTCTGTTAACAAACAACGTGGAAATGACGTCAGGGAAGAATACTTTGAGATTTGAACAAGTTTCAATTGTTTTTAAGCTTACTTTGTCTCGAGCATTTGACTTTTAAGGCTGCCTGATTACTTATGTTATCTTCTTGCATAAATTAAAGTCTAAAATAAAATTAACAAAGGACTCCACTCCCATATTTGACCCGCTATATGTTTGAGAATTTGGAAGTATTGGGCTTTGGGTTGCTCTGAAATATTGAACATGGACGGAACTAGGGGGCGAATGGGGATATAAGATTGTCATCACCTCAAATTGAAATCCTGATTCGGTTATTGATCTTGAGCAAACAGGGTGAAGCAGGAAGTTGGTAGTTGTTATTGATTTGTTGCAAAATTTCAGAGAAGTGGACTTAAAACAGCTTAAACGAGGTGAGTTAACGTTAGTATGTTTACATGTCAAACTCATAAATTTTTATATATCTAATACAACTTAGCTGACAACTCATTACATTAAAAATCTATCAGCAACTGAATTTTATCAGTTCTTAGTTTCCCTTCTACTCTATAATAATCATATATTTCCTTGTGCACCGTTCTGTTGGATTTGATTTTTAAGTCCCATACTGTTGGTCTCACTATCTTCATTTTTCATAGCATATTTATTAGGTTATAAATTGCTTGGTCCAACTTTTTTTTTTTAATTTTTTATTGCTTATCTGAAGGAAAACAATACTTGACTTCTGCTTATTAATTTGTGTTCTATTGGTGGGAATCTATTATTGACTTCTAACATGTGCATCAGTGTGAAGAAGAAAACTCGGATTTTTTTATTCTTTTGTCAGTCAGCTTTGTTGTTCATGCCTATACAATTAAAGGATCATATTGCTTAACTTGATTTACTACAAAGATTAACGAAATTCATGGATACTCAATAAAAAGCCTTCAAATACATTACTCCAGCTGAAAACGTCACAAAAGAACTACTTCTAATATTGCACAGGTACAAAAGATTTTATACACCTGACAAAATGAACAGCCAACTACAAATGCAATCTTATCATGGCAAATTCAATAGTTTTTTCTTTTGTTTTTGCCTATGCTTATTTTATTTCATGAACATTGAAACATGCTTTTCAACACACAAACTAATTAAAACGATCATTTTGGTTCCAGTGAAGAAAGAATCTTCTTCCAGATCTAAATGGGGAAGATACTTTCCAAGCGAAAATCCCTTACTTTCTATTCCTTCTTTCCAAGAACCAACTGTATCTCTCTGCCTTCAAAAGAGAAGAGAACACACATTCCTGGAAGATTGCATATGAACATAAATAGAATTCTGATCAGTTGTGCAGTGGGTTTGGTCCTCCGGGTACAAGTTGATGCGAAACACTGTGAACTGCCCTGTACTTCTGATTTTCAGAAACAGAAGGGGAACTAGCAGAACAATGCTCTATAAATGAAAGGGAAAACTTGGTTCTTAACTTTTGTTGGGTTTCCAGGTATGAAGCCAAGGTGACTTGCCGATAACTAGAAAGATGGATTGTTGCTAGCATAATTGCGAAAATCAGAAGTGGAAGAAAAGGAATAAGAGTTCTCATGCTCTGAAATGACAGGAAAAGGAGTCCTAGGAAAACAGCACCTTCTGAGTTGGATTTCTAGGTTTGAAGTCTATATATAATGGTAACGAGCAACCAGTTCTTAATAATCACTCCTAGTATTTAGAATGACATGAATGCCCATATTCCTATCATTATTAAGCCTACCTCTCATAATGGATTAATCAATCTTGCCTCAAATAGGATAAATTTAAACAAAGAGCCAAGAATTTGGTGGAGCTTGATATTAGATATGAACTTCAGCTACAGTTAAGTTTAAGTCGGCATGTGTTAATGAATCCAGCAAGACTTCATAAGTTTCTGTGATAATTTGTTGTAAAATGCTGGAACGCAAAATAAGGTTCCTGGCAAGATTGATTGAACGTGCCACCTATCATTTTCAAAAGTGGCATGACCGGACAGATTTGATAACATGGGCTTCAATGAGAGGTTAGTCGTCTTTAAGGGATCAGATCAGGCATTGTATAAATTGTACACTTGATTGGATATGCCAATGGCTCAATGCTCTTCTCAACTGCCAGCCTCAAAAAGTGAAATTTATAGCTTAATCACCTGTCCTTTCACCTTAGCCCTCCATTGTAACTACTCTGTTCCTCGGCTAGAGGGACCTGAGTAACAGGAGCTTTTAGATTAAGATGCACTATCCACTGATCCTATAATGTAAAGCATCAAATTGATATCTTGTGTGGGCTACGAATCTCTATCATCAGCAACAGTGTTGCTGAGGTTTCAGGAGCTAATTTTATCTATTCTCCAATATGGTCGGGGGATATTCTCCAGTTTTTAACCACCTGTTATGATTCAAAGGCTTGAGAGGTAGGTTCAGAATGTGAAAATGGTTGCGACCAAGGTTGAAGGTACCTACCACAGTGGAAGCCGCCCTAAGGCCTATCGGGGCTTCCTGGATCACAGTAAGCCACTTTTCGCACATCTTTTAAAAGTTTTGCCAAGTAATCCTAGTTCATGACTCGCTTATAAATTTCCTGTGCATCCAGACAGTTACTGTTTACGGCCCATGCCAGCTTTGGCATACATGCTAGCATGATTGACAACTAAAACCTAATCTGTCCATAAAAATTTAGGAACTAGTCATGCAAAACTAAAATAATACAGTCGACTCAGCCTCTAGTCATCTACCTATCGAACTCCAGAGCATGTTAAATGTTTTAAAGAATAAAATATCAGTAAATCGTTGGCTTTGTTCGTGACACATTACGTTAAAAGCCAACCTACCAGCTTTGGAATGTAGAAGTAAATTCATAATTCGTCAAATTCAGATCCGGTAAAGGTTAAATCAATACTGGAAAGAAGTCCATGGTTAGTTAAGGGCTGATAAGATCCCAGCGTTCGACTGATATAATTGGGAAAAGCAGAATTATAAAAATTCGGCATGGTTTGTTTGAGCCAAACAAATTCATTTTGGTTTAGCAGCTCTCGAGCAGTTAATGAATGAATTGGAATGTAGTAAGGTCATTTTCTTAGCTCTCAAATACCCTCCAGCCATAAAAGTGCAGAGGACAGGTGCAGGCCGCTAGGCCTGGTTAGAGCTGAGTTTAATGTTCGAAACCAAATGCTTTTCAGATTTTCCAGTAGATTGGATCCGGAAGTTGTTTGGATCTGTAACATGACCATCATGAAGATCATTGGATGATCGAATGGATTCTCACTGTCCGCAGTTCTATTCTGACATATTTGTCTCCACGATTCGAGCTATTTGCCAACGCCTTCAAAAAAAAAAAAAAAAAATCAAGAAACCACTTTTGGCCTCCTACTTTTAAGCTAGACTCTTGCTCTACCGCATAAAATGCATAAGCACAACGAGTAAAAAATTAGCCCCACTTGGCTTGCATCCAAAAGCTTGGAACTCAAAAACTCACCATTCCTGTATCAGCATTTAGCAGGCACCTCAAAGACTGTAATCCCTGGTTGAACAAATTTATCATGCATTGAGAGAAAGGGGAGGACCTCTTTTAATAGCTTCTAATGCAACTACAGCACATAGTAATTTTGTTGAACAAAGTAATTCCTGGCCGCATACATCAACAGTGAATCCCCAAAGTTTTAACATCCCAACTTATTTTTGATGAACTAAATATTGAAGAAAGTTTGCTAAAAGAGTATCCGCACAACGTAAGCTTATATATGGAATAAGATTCACATAATGCATTAATTCAAACAACAAAAGGAAATATCTTCCGGCATCTTCAGTAGAAAGAGTGATCACCCCATCGAAACGGCGACAACTAAGCCCAATCATATCACTCCTCCTTAGCATCAGCACCAGAGGATTTTTCCTCTGTTCCCGCAACTACACCTTGTGATGGACCATCTTCAGCTGGCTTAGCATCAGTTTCTGTAGCACCTGAGGCTTCACCACCGCCATCCCCTTCGTTTACTGGAACTGTCTTCTTGATGGTTCCAACCTTAACATACTTGCTCATGAACTTGTACTCCCAATCCTGCAAAGCATCCAATTCGAATGGACCAAGGCCAGAGATGTCACCAGTTAAATCTTTTTCTTCAAAAGACATCTTTGCAAGAGCTCTGCTAGCATCCTTTCCAGCAAACAATGCGTAAGGTCCACCAGGTCCATAAAACATTCTGCAAGAAATATTAAATTCAGGGAACAGCTAAGAACTTTCTGATTCATTTAATGCATAATTCTTGCATATATATGATTAACGATGCCTCTTGCAAATTCTACAATCATAAAGAATTTCACCACAAATTATGTTATAGATCACTTGAAAAGGTGATACTAAAGTGTTCCCGACACATTACATATAGTTCATATCTGACAAAAAGAAAATCTTGAAATCGGAAAGTAATTTCCATGAACTGAAAGTTAAAAGAAACCAGCAGCGCAGCAAAAATCTGCAACCAAGAAAGCTTTAAAGTTCAACCATGAATTAAAGCGAGAAATAATATAGAAGAAAAAAATTAATCATTTCTAGAAAACCTCAAAAGCAGCATCTCACAAAATAAATAAAAGCCCCAAAAATTTCATACCCATAAAGCTACTATGTCAAAGCTGATTTTCCAACAAACCGGTTGACCCCCAAGAAGAAAAAAAACCCAAAATCTAAAGCCAAAAGAAAAGAAAAAGTAGCATATTCAAACCTGCTTTGAGAAACATCATAGATCTGGCCCTTGATTGCCATGAGGAGTGGCTTCTTGGAATCCGACCCATCATATTGCTTAAGTTCCTCCTCGGAAATCTCGCCGAGCTGAACCGGAGGTGGAAGCAGCTCCGTCTGCTCCTGCAAAGCCCTTGTCCGTTGGTAATGATCATCGGACGATCCAAATAGACCCGTTACTACATAGTAAATGGCCCACAACAGAGCAAGAACAGTAAAGAAAGTGGCCGGAGATAGACCCGTGTACGCCGTTATAGCGGCCTTCAAAGTCTCCCATAGCTGCAAAGCCATCGCTTAAATTCTTTTTCTTCTCTGGCGATTTTTTGTCTCAAACTCAGAGTCAAAGTCTTTTGGTCTTAAAATTGGAGCAGACGGCTATTATGCTCGTACAAATGGAGTTATCCGCCTGTACATTTTATACTCCGTTTCTCCTGCAAATTCTTTTTTTTTTTTTTAATAAAAAAATTAGGCAAGTACATATTAATTTATTAAATTATCAAGTATACTATATTAGATTTTAAATACTTTATTTTTTTATAAAAGGTTTTAATTAGTTTATTAAATTGATTAAATCAGTAGAATCTCAATCTGATTTATTGGTATGAATTATATTATGAATTTGATTTTTTTAAAATTTTATAAATTGATTTATGGGAGATATTTTGGTTGTTAGTTTTAATTTTAAAATACAAAATGATGTATTGATACATTTTTTCTTGATTTTATTTTTTTAATCAATTAAATTACCTAATAGTCCTTGGAATGGTGGGTAGTCCATATCTATGGTTAATTTATTTTCTATTCATTTTGTTTTTTCTTTTTAAATTCTTATGATTGCATATTACAACCAAAGTACAAGGGTAACAAAAATTTTTAAATAAAAATTTAATAATTATTTAAATTTATAATATTTTATTATAATTAATCAAATCTAATATTTTTTATTTTGAATTAATTAAAATCTTAATCAGTTATTTTTACTTAATTAAATTTTTATACATATATTTTCATTCAATTAAAATTTTCGATTAAAAAAACAGTTAATCATATTTTTTAACAAAAACTTAATTGATAAAAATAAATATTTGATAATATAATTGATTATAAAAAAATAAATAAAAATTTGAATAATTATTAAATTTTAATTCAAGAAAATTTTTAACCCAATTGCCTATGATCAAGTATTCATAGTTGACAAATGAGATAATATGGTTCAATATTATACGACTTCAGGAATGAAATTTGACAAAAGCCGGAAAGAAAAGGAACCAGAGCTCAATCAAAACACATGCAGGGAGCCACCAAATAGTTGGGGACTCCTCCTGATCAATTCTGATAATCAGGGTTAGGTTTAAACTAGGGAAAGGCTAGTTAAGAACCTTTAAGAAAGCATGACTTCACTCTTGACCTTTATTTTTTTTTTAAAGAAAATACACTCATAATTTAAAAAAAAAAATTGCTAAAGACTGAAATTTGAATTTTAAAAGTATTAGGTGTTATTTTTAAAAATAATTAAATGAATCAACTGAATTAAATTTAAAATTTTTTTAATCCTAATCTTTATAGATGTATTTATAAACTCATACTTTTTAGAGGGATTATGAGTCAAAGGATAGAAAGAAGATATGAAAAGGCAAAGCAAAAATCGGTGCTATCATCTGTTGCAAACATAAAAAGCTGTTTCAGCTGTGATGTTCTCAAAACTGACTTTAATATATTTGAAATTTGATGTTTGGCAAAGTTATCAGACATGATAGTCAAGTTTCGAAAGTTTCAAAGTTGAACAACTCTTTTAGATTGAAATTCAAAGAACTATAAAGAAAAAGTAAATAGATAAATAAATCAAGGTACCAGGAGATCAATCAAATGAGCCACAAAAGCAATATGACAAAAAACCTAATCCTTTAAAGTTAGAATCTTGAATTCTTTCCCACCATTTTGGACCAGATTCATATTTGGTTAAACTAGCTATATAAAAGGAATACCATTGTACTATTCTATTTTAACAATTATTTTTAGAAGACTGAGTGTTTCATATTCAGACAGCTGATCTAAAAATGACCATCAGCTTCAGTTTTTTCCTGTCTTAAGAGTTAAACATATTAACTACCACACACAATGACACAAAGAGCCACAGCATGTATTGACATGAGCCAATTGCTTACATTAAGTACCAACATGTGTTTATGTTAGAAGTTTAGCTATTTTCTATCTTTATGCATCTTTGTGGAGTCCATAGATATCACACATCTCAATCGACAATATGCAGTTCCTTAATCTTTTGGATCTGAACTCAATACTGAGGGAAACCAATTGATCCAAGTATCGCAAATCCCAAAGGTCTAAAAATTTTTTAGGCGAATTACAGGAACTCCCAGGTTTAAACTAAGAAATAAATATCATAACACAATAAACCAACAAATAAATAGAAAAAACAAGGTTCTTGTGCAGCTAAGAATAAAAATCCATGACATAAGAATTATTGATTAATGTTTTCCTTTTCCATTTCTAAATCTACCTAAAAAAGATTCTATCATCTGTGAATAGAAAAAAAAATGGACAATTGACCATATATACAGTAAGTAATAAGGCAGATGCCTGTCCCAAAGGGGAGCAGATCATCTAAACTAGCCACTGGGGATAAAGACAGTTTTCAACTATCTTCACTCAACAACCTCTTTTTTTGTTTACAGCATAGAAGGAATACATCAACCAAAGAAATAATGGGGGAAAAATGGTACAATAGCTAAGGTTCTAACCCAACCCCAATAAAATTTTGATATTGGACGCTCCAAGTAATGTGCACAAGAGCTACACTTTAAGAATAGAGAATGATCTTATCAAGTTGTAGATATCTGACCCTCTAAAATTCAAATTCAAAAGGCTCAAATCAAAGGAAAAGTGAGCTCACCTCATAGTTTTCCAAAGCCCTTCTTCATACTTGTACCACCTCATAAGCCCTTCATCATTTCTCATCCGCTGATACATGATGTATGAGTCTTTCATGCATGTTACGAATTCACGTAACCGAGATGCCTTCTCAAGAATAGACTGATCGAGCTCCCTTATAATTATTCTTGGGGTAGGAGGAGGTGGTATTTTTATCGGAAGGCAATGAGATATGTTAAGCACTTCTAGGTTTTGTAAGTCATCCAAGATGGAGATCAGGACATCCTTCACAAGCATTGAGCGGCAGAGACTCAAAACCTTTATCTTTGGTAGATACGTTATTATCTTAGCGGCAAAGAAATTGTCAAAAGGTCCCATCACCTTGAGTTCACTAAAATTCTTGCAATTATTGGCAATTTCTTCCATGAGATATGGAGGGTTTGATATGCTAGGCATTGTAAGCGACTCAAGATCCCGCCAGATGTGAATAGCTTTGCATATTCCAGTTTTCTTTATTATGTTCCAAGCCGGCCTAACAAGGCGTCTGAGGCGGGGGCACCTGCAGTAAAGAAAAACAAGATCACATTCCAATGCATGCACCAAAACAACATATACTTGTGAGGAGAATCCCCCCCCCCCCCTCTCCCCCAAAATAAAAAAACACACACTCGCGCAGACACAGGAAATCAAGGTGCAATTTGATCAGTTTAATGGCAAGAAAAGACACTGATATATACAATACCATTCATCAATACCATTATCAAATGCATTTTTAAAGAAGCTAAGGATGTGTTTAGTGCATAAGATTATGACAAGATAAGATAAGATGATATTATGATTAGCATTAAATTAAATAATGCTATACTATCTTATTTTTTATGTATGCAAATATTACAACAACACACTAAGCCATATATCCCATATGGGGTTGACCGTATGAAAAGTTAAATAAGAGAAAGTTAGGTTGTAGTTTGTATCTTCTCGTGCAACTCATTTTTATCAATAATCACATTTTCATCTAATTCTTTAATCATCATATCGTTTTTTTTATTACTTGCTTCCATATATTTTGTAATCTACCTTTAAATATTTTGATCTTTCATAGATCTAGACACTCAATTCTCCAAACCGATGCATAGTTAGACTTACATTTTACATGTCCAAACCATTGCAAACAATCCTCTCTCATCTTTTGTTCAATTTAGATTATCTCTAATTTTTCTCTAATCTCTTCGGTTTTTATTTTGTTTCTTCTTGTCTTACAACATATCCATCTAAGCATCTTGATCTCTGTTATGTATGTAAAAATTATAATATGATAATTTATTTATTGATCAAAATTATCATTTCAAAAAGTTTATACAATTTAAATTATTGATATAATTTTAACAGGTATAAAATATAGGACATATAAGTTTATGGATTAATTAAAAATGATCTTCTCCACTTTGGGAAGATTGAATCATCCTATGTTAAGAGGATGATTAATCTTTTTTTTTTTTTTAGATACAAATAAAATATAGGCTCTATTTGGATGGATAATGAGATTGAAAATAATAATAAAAATTATTGTAACTGTAATTAAAAAAATTACTGTGGTTGCAATTTAAAAAAAATTTATGCTGATTTGACCTCACTGAAATTAATATTTGGATTCAATTGAAGGTGCGGTAAGCTTAATTGCACCACACCAAAAGTGCGGTAGAATCCAAACGAAGACATATTATAAAATGATTATTATTTTATCCTATTAATGATCTTATGCATTAAACATAACCTAAGAGACTAATACAAGAAAACACCATGCTAATTGATATTGAAACTCAAAGAAAAGCATTAGATATGCTCATGATATAGGTAACAAATAATCGTTGTTAGCAGGCGCCCTTCAAACATTAAGATGAAGTATCATAATATGTTTTTATTTCACAGAGATCATCATCAACTATAGACAAAGAAAGAGGTTTTACTGTTGAGATTGGTAACACCAGCTTGAGAATATTCTAAATAAGTAAAATTCACGAAAATTACCTTTAAGCAGTATTGGTCAATTGATCGTTGCTCACATAAGGATTAAAGTGACAAATCAAGGTCATTACGTTTCCCTAGCTGAGACTCAAAGATATCTTACAACAAACGGGTCAATGTCTTGTCAGAACTAGCATCCAAATGTACATTAGGCTGCAATGGAATTTTGATAAAATTTGACTTGATCGCTGAGTGTTTTCCTTTAACAGAGGATCACAACAGGCCATACTCCATGAACTGCGGACAAGAACAATGCATGTTAACTTAAAGATGTCAAAAGACTAGAAGATCTTCACCAACATTTCTGTGCCAAAGTCCTACCATCTCCTTTTTGCAGAGTGACTTTCTTCCATTCAACCAAGTTTTCTAATATTTCCAAGGGGTTTCACAGCATCATCAAGCCTACAAAGACGTGGACTATATATAGAAGGTTCAGTCCGTTATATATATAACTTGTATTGACAATTATATGAATGAATCAGCATTCAGCAGATAGAAGTTTACATCTTGTCCTCAGAGAATAATCAAGGCGACTTTCCGTATTGAAAACCAAGGAAAAATAAAAGATTGTGCTTGGAAGCATGAAAACTCATTCTCTTGGTGTTTTTATAAAATGAATTCAAAGTCCAAAAAGATACTTCCAGCTGGCATTGCGGGCAATAAATTCCATAATCCATATGGTGAGGAAAAAAGGGAAGTAAATATCGTTGGTCCATGTACTAAAAAAATATACCGTTGGTCCTTGATTTTCATTGAAAGATGCCTAGCAATGATAATATGAGAAGAATCAAAATGCAATTAAACAGGCATGCAAATGTCACAACCATGAATAAAAATTTGGTCCAAAACTCTTCCTACTATGTAAGAAAGCAGAATACATACACAAGAGAATGTGTTTTATCTACACAAGTACAAGCATGCAAGTATATAACTACACCATCAAGTGAGGCCCTGACCATACTGTGCTTCAAAAAAAAATCATGTTCCTTGCCTTTCAGCCAAACTTAGGAGGTTATCAATCAATTGGACTCATGTGGGAAAATGGACAAGAAGTTGTCAATGTCTAAATAATTTAAAATTACTGTTGCCTCAAAAAAATATAAAATTATCCAATTTTGGCAACACAATTGAAGGAATTCATAAATATACCGCATATTCGCTTTCTGTATTAGCATAAATAGATCAACCACCTTTGCTACATGTACATTATTGATAATATACCCTCCTAGATCCCGATTAATCCAGCTTTTTGTCTAGCTTCTAACTTTCAAGCCACTTTTAACATTCACCATTTTACAACTGTCATGCTAATGACAAATCTCGTTTCTTAACATAAATTGAAAACAGAAGTTAACCTCCGGTGTGATTTACATACAACCGCCGTGCAATACCAAGAAATCTAAATAACCAAACAGCTAATATATCACATTACCCTCCATGATCTCTCTCAGACAATGGATCTTGATCTAAGGAATCAAGAATCTCCATGCTACAAATGTCTGCCTATTATCTCTTCACATCTTTAGCCCACTGCCTACCATTAGGCTCGATAAAATTTATAATTTACATCCTATCCCCTCACTGCATTTTTTCCCACCTTTTCAACTTAAAACCTATATATCATAGGAATTTCAAGATTCAAGTCTCTCACCAGCATCATCTTGTATTTCATCCAGCAACATCAAGATACTTTATATTGTTAAATTATAACATTAGCAAGAAGCCATTCCATGGAATTTATGACTCTAGCTAAAAGGGGAATTACCTAGCACATCAAAAACCTGAAATTGGTCGACGGCATGTACCAAAGGTTACAAATTGAATGACATTGAGTAGTAATAAATATTGAATACATTAAACATAGTAATGTAAAAAAAAAATTGGTTAAATTCTCTAACTTTTAACTCGGAAATTTCATTGTTTTAAGCCAATCTATAAGTAAAGACCTTACACGCAGAAAGGGTGAAAGTATTTTCACACGGACTTGTTCTATATCACGTCAACAACATTGAACAAGCGACAGTCAATAATAAAACCCTAAAGAAACCATACCAACAAAACAGATACTATTTGATATTCTGATACTCCTAATTACCGCATTCCACTTTCAAGTCCGTCGTTATAACAACATCTATCTTGTTCACTCTACGCAAGACAGAAAACTCATTCTCAATAGTAAAAATTTCAACTACAAGATCTATATTCAACAATTTCAGTACAAAGACGCCAAAGGAAGAACCAACCTCTGCAATTAAAAGAGAAAAAAATTCACTATTAACAAAATCAAGTTTTCATGCTTCAACAAATCTAGGTTCCTTCAATTTTAAGTATATCCTCCATCTTTAATTACCCCTTAAAGAAAAGATCCATCTTGATCTAACTTTCACCTCACACTCTCAAAAACAACTCTATCTAAACATATATATATGAAAAAAAGAGAGACAGTTACCTTAAGACAAAGATAATCTTGGGATTCATGAGCTTTGTTTTTCATTGGAAATTTGTTTTCAATAATTTCCAGTTTTATATAATAACTAAAAGTATGAAAAAGACATAAGTTTTCAGCGTTAAGAGTCCAGAAAAAGTATATATTACTTTGAAATTAAATTAAATTATAAAATGTCTTCAACAATTAGTGGGGAAGAAGATTTAGAATGAGTTTGACAGTTATAATTCTTCCATCTCCATCTCTTATCCTCTACCAATAAAAATAAATAATAAATAATAAAATAATATCTCTATGTTCTGCCAGGCTTGGACTCAAAACGTTAGCCCAGGCCTGGGCTTAACGAGTCAGATTAGGGGTCGAGTTAATAGCTCGGCTCATGAACAGTATATCTCGCGCTTTCTGTGGCTATTTCAATTTCCCAACTCCCAAACGGGAAAGGAGAAGCAGAGGGAAAAATGGGGGTGAAGAATTTGTGGGATATTTTGGAATCATGCAAGAAAACTTTGCCTCTTCATTATCTCCAGAACCAAAGGGTATGTGTAGATCTGTCCTGTTGGATGGTGCAGCTTCAAAATGTTAACAGATCTCACTGTCCCATGAAAGATAAGCTTTACCTCAAGGGTCTCTTTCACCGCCTAAGGGCTCTCATTTCCTTGAATTGCAGCCTTATTTTTGTCACCGGTAAATTCCTTTGATCTTCAGTCTTTGATTCAAGTGATATAGGATATGGGTTTTCTTTCCAAGTTGGAGATTTTGTGTAAATGGCAGCTTACTAAAGGATTTCTAAAGTTGGGGTTTTTCCTGAAATAGGATTTTGCTGACGATTTTGAATTTGTTATTTCGACGATTCAATTTGGTGACTGTTGCATTTATTTGCTGAGACAGTGGCCAAATGAATTACAAGACCATAAATTTTCGAACTTGTCATGCTTTATCAAAATTTGCTGAGTGTTTTCATTTTTTAGTTGTAGTCTTGTAGATTTATGGTAACATTTTAATACATTCTTTTGCGTCTGTCAGATGGTTCAATTCCTGCCATCAAATTATCTACATACAGGCGGCGGTTATACTCAGGAATTGAGATAGAGAATCAGGTATGTTATATTTCACTCTGTTCCATATTTCTTCTCTAATTTCTTTCTGTTGCTACAATTTCTTGGGAAAGTTATCTTTTGAGGAACTTAAGTTAGTTGTTTAAGGCAGGCTGCTCAGAATGGGACAAATTCACAAAAGTTGTCCTCACTTAGAAGGAATATGGGATCTGAATTCTCTTGCATGATCAAAGAAGCAAAATCCCTTGGATTAGCACTTGGTATTCCCTGCCTAGATGGGTAATTTCCGATATTTTATGTGGTTCACTATCTTTTGAAAATGAATCCAGGGATAATTCTTCCATCTCTTTTTCTTCCTTGAAATTCAGGATTGAGGAAGCTGAAGCACAATGCGCATTATTAAACTTAGAATCCTTATGTGTAAGTAGTTCTTTTTTTCTTAGAGAGTACAATTGGAATACTATGTAATGCACTCAAAGTTCGAAGATGCCTTCCCTTCATGAAGTTACTTTGCTATCATCAGGATGGGTGTTTCTCTTCTGATTCAGATATCTTCCTTTTTGGCGCACGGACAGTGTACAGAGACATTTGCCTCGGTAAGTGTGTGGGTATTATTTTACCTTTTGAGTTGTTTTATGGTATTGTTTTGTAAAAATATAAATCTTGCCCTTTTATATTTTGAATTAGGGGAAGGAGGCCATGTTATTTGTTATGAAATGGATGATATAGAGCAAAAACTTGGATTTGGAAGGAACTCCTTGGTAATTTTTATCTTTGCTTCAACCATCTAATAGTTAATTCTACTGTTTGGTAACTCAAAATTTTGGGATTTTCAGATTTCTTTGGCCCTTTTTCTTGGCAGTGATTACTCTCAGGGTGTTCATGGTTTGGGTCCGGTATGTTTCAGAATCAAAATGCTCCTAATATCCCGGTGGGTTTTTTTTGCTTCTTTTAAAAATGCTTATTGAACATGAGACTCGCCTTCATTGCTGATATAGGAGACAGCATGCCAGATTATTAAATCAGTTGGAGACAATGATATTCTTCAAAAAATTGCATCGGAAGGACTGTCTTTTACAAGGAAGAAAAAAAATTCAATGAAACAGGGTCGAGTCAAGTGCAATGACAAGGCAACCACATTGTGTCATGAAGTGAACATGAATGGTGAATGAAGAAACCCTCCACCATTACAGATTTGGATATTACTAGCTTGTGCATCTGGTTTTCCAAATTTTATCAAGTTAAGGTTCCCTAGACAAAATGATTGAGCTAGAAAGGAAGAACCATTTGTAAATAGTACTGGAATCAGCAAAATGCTTATCATATTGTGAGATGAATTCTATAAAGTACCTTTAGTCCAACTAGTAAATATATCCTTGTATTTCAAAAGGTTTTTTCTCTTTTATAGGAAACAATAGCACTTGACATAGTTTGTCATATATTGATTGAGATTACTATTTAGAAGAATGTTGGTTGAGTATTATTGAACTTTAAGCTCGACGTGAGTAGATTGACATATGCTCAAACTGATACAGCTAACCTTTTTAAATGATCATGATAGGAGGCAATAAGAATTCGCAAGGAGATAATCAGTCTTTGCAAGTGGTGGAAGCATATATGAAGCCCAAGTGCTACTCGGCAGACTCTGATGTAGTCCATAGGTAAAGTTATATAGATAATTTCTCTTTGTATAATCTTGTACCAACACAAGGCACTCGGTACAAAAAACAGTTTTACTATATTTTTTTATCTAACTTTTCTTCTTTTTTTTTTAAACTTTTTGTATCTCTCTCTGTACTCTTTTCTCTAGCCCCCTCCGCCTTTTAAAAAATGTATATACATATGAAAAGGATGAAACGAAGTTGATATTGACATGTGTGCTCTCATGGACATATGCATGTTTGATTTAATTATGAATGGAGTACCTCTTTATAGCATTAAGGGTGTCTGACTTTTTCCTAGAAAAGAAATTGTGTTTGTTGACTATGTCCTAAAGCCTTGTTTTTGTTTGTTTGATTAAAAAAAGATTCTGGGTTTCCTGTGCATACAGACCTTTTCTAAATATTTTGATAGACAAGGATAAATCTTTAATGAAAATAGTTTCAGCGATTTAGGAGAATTTAGAGCCTATGATGACTGATAGTTGCGATTGGGCGTAGTCACCAATTCTTGCTTTTTAGAAGCCAGGCTGTGAAGTTTTTTTAACTGCTTTATTCTTGTAGGGTTCTTGTACAGCATCCATTTCAGCATCAGCTACTTCAACTGATATGTGCTCAGTTCTTTGAGTGGCCTCCTGAAAAAACAGGTATCCTTTGTTCCAAAATTTACCAACATGCACAGGTAATCATGTCCTTGTCCATGCAATTTTTGCTATATGTTCATCGCTACAACCATGCACTTGGAAGTTGGAAGCATGCATTTTACACTGCTCATAGTGTATCAATGGCTCAGATGAATACATCCTTCCAAAGATTGCTGAAAGAGATTTGCGACGGTTTGCCAATTTACGATCAACTTCATCTCAATTAGGTGTTAACATTCCATTGAAGCAGGTACTACTGCCATCTAACATCCTTATACAAATTCATTCCTGAACATCTGCAAATTGAAATTCTTGTTTGACTTGCTGCTTTTGAAAGACTTATTGCTTCTGAAGGACCCTTATTGGTCATTCATGTTGTGAAAAAGTAATTGCTAGTGTCATTTTGAAAGTGTTATTATTGAGAGAGTTTGCTTAGAGTTGCTAATAATGTCAACAGATCGTTGTGCTCTCCAATGCACTTTTAAAAGCTAAAACCATCCTTTTGATGAGAACCACAAGCAGCGCTAATAAATGATGGTTTAAGAAATGATTAGATTGACTACCATTAAATCATTTTGGATTCTAGTTAAGGAAATAGACTGGACTCATATATGAAGTAATTTAGATAGATTGTTTCAATGTGATTACCTGTAACCAGAATATGCATCATAATCTCTTTATTCACCATGAAAATATGTGAGATTATATTTAATTCTCCATTGAAATTCCTGTATTATAGTGTCAAGGCTGATCTTTAAATCCTAGACTATTGGTAAGCTTTCCCATTACAGGTTCCAGTTAAGTGTCCTGTATCAGCAATTATTAAGCGCAGAAAAGTTCATGGGAGAGAATGTTTTGAGGTGTCATGGGAAGAGTTTGTTGGAATTAAAACCTCTGTAGTTTCAGCAGATCTCATAGAGAGGTATGTTGCCATTATCATTTGCTTACCTGTATCTAGTGATGACAAGTTGATACTTAGGAAGATAAAAGTATATATATATATATGTATATAAGAACAAAACCATGGTTGAAATCAATGTATACTCTGAATAAATGATTCATTTCCTGTTTTCCACAGTGCTTGTCCTGAAAAAATTAGAGAGTTTGATGATAGAAGAGCTCTAGAGAAGAAAAATCACCGTAAATCAAGGCCAAAGAAATCAGAGAAAAATTGTTCTGTGGCTGAAATAGATCTGAAACTCCAAGATCTGTTGCTTGACATCGAGTTAGGGTGCAAGTCCAGTCCCATTGCTTCAAGAAAAGTTATATCTGACAAAATGACCATAGCAACTGAGGTTAATTTCATAAACCAAGATCCCCCGGTTATTTTGGAGTCAGAAGGCAATGCTGACAGCGAAGCTGCAATGTCATGCATACAAATTGGTGCAACTGCCCTAAAGCATGAAGTTATTGATCTTTCGAGCCCCTCTCCACAGGTGCACTCCCAGAATATTTCCAGATTTACTCAAATGAATGGTCAAGACATTAGTGTAATCGATTTGAGTGACTCTGAAGCTGAGAGATCACCAGAACATGCAAGGAAAGCAAGAGAGCTTAGACTTTTTCTTGCCAGCATTCGAGATGACATTCACTGAACGAGCCATGAAGCACTCAGTGGATAGACAACTCTTATGCATGTTTTTTGTTGTAATATGCCAAAGATGTTGCTCTGCTGTTTAACGTTTGTGTTCTATTGTGTGTTATTCTGTGAATTCCCCGTCATTCATAAATAATGCATCCATTCAGATGCTAGCCTCACAACTCACACCCTACAACCAAAGCTACTGGGATTATTTTCATGCAATTGTTTAGGATACCATTACGTTATCGAATGGAAGATAAAATTTTTTTTATTTACTCCTTATACAAGACTGATCGGCCCAGCCCAAAAATTGAAATCGCATTGGGCCTTTTACTCGGTTTTTAACTTATATAAAATAAACTATCATTCACAATTTACATTAATACATCAAATTTAAAACATACTTTTAATTTTTATCAAATCAATTTATAATTTTTGTTAAAATTTTCGAGGTGTCTGTTTTTTTTTTTTTTTTGCTTAGTATCACCAACAAATTTAAAATATACCTTTAATTTTTATCAAATTAATTTATGATTTTTGTAAAAATTTATACGGTATCTTTTTTTTTTTTTTGGTCTAATGTCAATGATGTTTGATATTACAATGTTGTTGTTTATTTATATTTTGATAAAAACAAATATATCAACAAATGGTTGGTTCAATCAGTTCATATTATTTTTTTTTTATGAAAAGGTCTTGGATTCGAGTGTTGTCGGTGGGTATGACCTGTAGTCATATGTCTTAAATTGTTAGGTACGACATATTTTATCCTGGCTCTTAATCTGGGGAACTGAGTAACTTATCTATTATCGAATTTTTTCTTTAAAAAAAACAAATATTACGAAAAATACTAAATTTGCACTCGTCAGCTTCGTTTGAGCTAGGGGTGTAATCGAGTTGAATTGAGTACATACAGTGAAAAGCTCAAGCTCGACTCCTAACTCGTGGTTCAATACTCAGGCTCGAATTCGATCGAGTTTCATTTTCTTAGCTCGAGCTCGATTCATGATCAAAATCGAGCTCGCTCAATAAAGCTCAATTCATATATTCGACAAATGCTCAATTATTGGTGCTCGAGCTTGAGCTCAAACTCAAGCTCAAGATCTTTTACAACTATTTTTTATCAAACCTAATAAATATTATATTTTCAAAATAATAACAATAATAATAGCAACAACAACAACAACAACAACAATAATAAAAACTTACACAACAGCCAAATCTAAGCAAATAAAAGTCTCATCAAATTATTCAAATACAACATACAAATAAAAGACATAATGAAACTTAGAAACTAAAGTCTTAATTGAAAGAGATTAAATATCCAAACAAATAAGTTCAGAAATAAGTTACAACAAACCAACAATAATACATATGCTGCCTTTACAATATTATGTCTTCAAATGAATATTGGGCTCATATTGTTTTTCAACAAACTTACATAAAAGAATAATTACAAAACAAACAAATTATAATTAATAATAAGAATAATAGTAGAAGCACCCATGTAAAAAAAAATTGTGATATCATTGCAATGATCAATAACTTTAAAATTTTAACATTAACATCAACATGTATTGTATCTTGTCAATTGCCTTATAATCAAAGCAAAAAATATAGACAATGTCTTGTCAATTGCCTTAAATGAGTTTCTGTCATTAGTCAACCTACGATTCGTAAATTATAATGCAAAAAGCTCAATCTGGACGAGCTACCACCTATTTTTCTTTAGTAATGTTGTGATAAATTAAAGATATTTAGCAATAATATTTCATACATGTATAGAAGACATTAGATATCCTTCTTTTAGGGGATTTTGAGTGCAATCTCAATTGATTACTTCTCTTTCTATATAGATAAAGTAAAAAAAAATAATAGTTAAAAATTAGATTAAAACAATGATAATCACCCAATAACAAAATAATAATAATAAAAAAACTCACTTTGTTATTTTTCTTCACTACATGAAAATTCTGACACCAATCTTCTTCACAAAGTAATGCTTGCACTGTGTCAGGAGCTAAAGAAGCATGATAAGTATCAATAACTCTACCTTCCGCACTACAAATAGCTTCTGAAGCCATTGTAGTGATAGGAATAACAAATATATCTTGAGCCATCTTAGATAAAATACAGTACTTCAAAGTGCACGTTTTTCACCATTTTAAAACATCAAACTTAGTGAAATCTCTTTTACAAATAAAGCAGCCTTCAGCTAGGTAGACATCTAGATTAGATTGTTGAGGTTGAGTAGTTTCAACTGATTTTACATAATTTGTAAATTCAGACCAACCAGAAGAAGAAGCTTCTATATTCATACCACTAATACCACTATCATGTACTTGAGTTTTAGCACTATGCTCATTGCCAAATTGATACTCACGAACATATTCTTCATAAATCTCATAAAGAGCACCTCAAACTCTAGTAATACTTTCTCTTGCTTCTTTATTAAGGTACATTCGAGGAAAATAAAACTCAACCACCCTCATTTTGCACCTTGGATCCAAGATAGCTACTATAGCTATTAACAAATTACATTTTCCCCAATACTTATCAAATTTACTCTTCATCTTACCAACCATTGCTTTAACAAATTCATTTTCATCATTCATCCTTTTATCCAACAACACTTTCACACAATAAACTTCATTCAAAAATAAGTTTAAAGTCGGATAATCACTTCCAGAGATGATTTTAGTGGTTGAATTAAAAGCTTTTAAAATTTCATAAACTTTTTTTACATTTTTCCAATCTTCATGACTTAGACAACATTAATAATGAGATTCTCATTCTTTGAGTCTTGGAAACACTTCTTTGAATTTGATTACAGTAGACAACATCTCGAATGTTAAATTTTAACGTGTTTTACAATCGAGAATGAGTTTCCTATTAGGTAACTATAATTGCTGTACTATGTCAGAAAATGAGTTAAGTCTTGCCTCATTCTGATTAATAAAACTAACACTTTCATAAATATCACCAATCACATTCTTAATCTCAGAAAGACCATTTTAAACTATAAGATTTAAGATGTGTGCATAACACCGAACATGAAATAATTTTCTCCCATAAAGCAACCTTCTATTTCTTGAAAAAATGTCTTTAAAAATTCTAATAGCCCCATCATTGCTTGAAGCATTATCCACAGAAATTGTAAACACCTTGTTTTCAATTTTCCATTCCTTTAGACACTTAGAAATAAAATCAGCAATCTTAACACCGCGATAAGAATGAGGTATGTGAACAAAGCTAATAACACGCTTTTGTAATCTCCAATTAGAATCTATAAAATGTGCTGTAAGAACCATATACTCAATCTTTTGATTACTTGATTTTTACAAATCAATCATCAAACTAATCTTGCTAACAGTCTTCAACAGTGCCTTCAACTTCTTCTTTTTTACTTCATACACTTGCATGTAACCATTTTTAATAGTATTGCGTGATATTTTTTTCCATTCAAGCATCCTACATTTTTGTATTATGTTAAAACCTTCCTCTTCTATAATCGAAAAAGGATGCTCGTGCATGAATATCCAATGTGTAGCTACCTCTCTCATCTTTGCCATATCAAACTTGTCATATGTGAGAGCAGGTACTATTTATACATCACCACATGTGTCTACTGGCTAAAGTTGATCATTTGTTATTAATTTTGAAAAAATTTTCGCTTAACACAAGTTATCAAGTGCTTTTTAAATTAAGTTGTACTTTTACTTGCATTTATTGTTAACTTTTTCTTGTAAAGGGACACACTTTTCTTTTTTAAAACTATCAAGAAGAGTAACTTTTTTGAACTCCAACCAAACAGTAGATGTATTTTACCTTTTTTTCTCATTACTTTCCTCACACTCTTCAGGGTCAGCATCATCACATTCTCTATAATTGATATCGGTGACTGATGTTTTATCTATGTTGCCATCAGTGATATGTAAAGTCTCATTCATTGAATCATTACCATCATCTGACATAATTCGGCTAGCAAAAGAATTTGTTATCGGTTGAACTGGTACAGAGGAGATATTCGGTGTAGTTGATGACATGTTGAGTTCTCTATAACAAAAAAAAAGACAAATCAAAATAATAATTCAATTTTGGGATCAAATAATGATGTCAAACAAATTGTTAGAAACATGTGCGGTAAATTTTTTTGTGAGAAACATGAAAACAAGTTGCAAGAAACAAGTTATTGAAAGAGTATGAAATTTAACAGTAAATGATAACCATATATGGGAATTGCAAGCAATATACATAATCTATAAGCATAGAAATCCTGGAGAACTAACCCAGCATTTACTCTTTGAATAATTATAACCTATAATAAATATGAATTTAAATTTTAAGTTAATTGATTTATATAATATTTTTTAAAAATAATTTTTAATAATTTTAAAAACTGAGAACCCATTTTTCATTGAAGAAAAAAAAAGACTTTTTTGCAAAACACAAAAGTATATAGGAACATACGAAAAGTGTAAAAGGGGAAGTATGGCTAAATGGAGTAAACAAACAAGGTAAAAAAAACTACGAAAAGCAACACAATTAACCCGGTGATGAAACCTCATCATTTATTCCCTTAAAGTTGAAAAACCAAACTCTAAAACAACCACTATCTTCAATTTTTTTTTCTTTTTTGTTGGCTTTGATAGGCCTTAATAGTGAAGACAACTGAAATAAACAACACTAAAACAAAATATAATCAACCACCAAAAAGAAGTAGCTTAACTTAAGTACCCAACATCATATGAACCACTTTCTCTTTCTCTTTCTCTTCGTTTTCTTTCTTACTTTATCTTCATTTTCTTTCTTACTTTATCTCACTTTTCAGGCCTTAGTTAAGGTATCTCGCATGGACACCTGTACAGCTTTAAGTATGAAAAATTATGTACTTTTCTAAAGAGATCCCATCCAAAATAAAATCATAGATAAAGTTTAAAGTTTAAAGCAACGTGAACGAAGGGTTGGAGTCTGTAACTTAAGTGACAGTCATATAATTTTTGTTTGGTAGTTGATATGTCAGTCCTAGTCTTTTGCGAGACTTTAAAATAAAAAATAAGCAAAAAAAAGTCATCGACTCCAATCCAAGCCGATAACGCTTTTCTTTTTTTTGGTATGCCCCTCCGTAAATAGAGTGAATGAAGAGAAATTTAGGGTAGCTAATGAGACTAAGCCAAGAAAAGAGAGATGAAGAACAACTTAATAACTCTGATAATGGCTTCATACCTGGCAAAGTAAGATCTCAAAGCATGATAACGGCTCCACACCACACTTGCCAATGCCTTGTCCACTGACTCTTTGGAGGTAAATGTATACAGACATGATGAGCCAAAGTCATGTTTAATCATGCTATAAAATATTCAATAAAATGTGGACAAACAGAGGACAAACTCTGGTCAAGACTGTTGAGAACTATAGGACAAATAGAGGAAATGGATCATGTTCAAAGACTTTATCATCGTCATTTTTTTATACGAAATTACATGGATGACTACATAATCAGACACAAGAAAGAACCATGGCTGCATCTGTAAAGTTCACTTACAATGAAAAAACCTTTTGTAGTTATGCAAAAAGGTAGTAGCTTGCTCCAACTTTGATTTATCTCAGATTTTTCAGCTTTGATTTGTCTTGAATTTGAGTTAATTATGGAAACTAACTTCAAAATATTGAAAAAGAGGGAGAAAGAAAGACGCCATGTGCCATGTAAGATGAGGGAGACAGGAGAAAGGGGAAAGAAGAAAACAAAATTTTAGGATTTTTTAGGTTAAGGGTAAGATGATAATTTTATAAATAAAATAATAATAAAAAAATAATAAAAAAATTCACAAGTTATTCGAACCGAGTATTAACATACTCAAATTCGGTTCATTCGATAAGTCGAACTACTCAAGTTCGTGCTCAACTTAACAATTATCAAATCGAATTCGAATTTTAATTAAATCGAACGCAAATAACTTAAAAATACTAATATATCATTTACCCTATTAGTTCTAGCTTTTTCATTTTGTCATTTTGCCTTTTTGCCTACCTGTGTATTTTCTCCGCTCTCCCTCCTCTGTACCCAGACAATATAAAGAAACCGTTTTGCCGCTGGAAAGAGAAAGTTTTAAACGTTTCGATAATCTAATACAGTTCAAGCTTATACGATTTACGAGAATCTTGGGGGAGGAGAGAGATGGTAACGTCATCGGTGGTGAACACTTATCCACTGTCGAGCTACACCTTTGGCACCAAAGAGCCGAAGATGGAGAAGGACACGTCCGTGGCGGATCGCCTTGCTCGCATGAAAGTCAAGTAATTTAATCACTTTTTCCTTTTTATTCTCTTGTTTAATTACATGTTTTGTAGGTTTTTTAAAAACCCTAAATAAACCCTAATTCACCTTTTCATTTTCCAGAATGCCGAGCTAGAGTTGTGTTTTTTTTTTTTTTTTTTTTATGCGGTTTAGATTCGCTTTTCCTCTGTGTTATTCGGTTTCAGAAACAAGAAAAAAAAAAAAGAAAAAGAGTTCATTTTGAATTGCTTATTCTGAACTGTTCGACTTAGTTCGGTCGATGATCTAAGATTCGAAACCGTAGTTTCTACACTTTCTTATACCATATTGGGAACTGAGGGGAATTTGTAGAGCAAAACGAAATTACTGATCGAAGTAATAGATATTTGAACTGAGATTTGAATTGTGTTTCTCATGTTTTAGATTAAGGAAAACTTTCTACATTTTTTCTATTATTGATTAATTTTGAGCTTCGATGAATATTCTTTTTTTCCTTTTCCAAACCCCCAAAGAAAAACCCAAGAAAGCAAATTCGGGATCTAAACTAATCTTTTGCTTGGTATGAAGGATGGAAAGAGGTGAGGATGTAAAACTTGTTAATCTGATGGTTAAAATTCATAACCATTCTTTTTACTTTATATCTTAAATGTTAGATTAATAAATTTTCTTTATCATCCCTTTCCATCTTTCCTACCAAGCAAAGCCTAAAAGTTCTCATTGAAGATTTAAATGGGGATGGAATAAGTTTACTTTGAATATTGGCATGTTGAAACTTTACTTTATATAAGCACAAGTTTGTAATTGCTTCTTTTGACTGCGAGTTGCAGTTATATGAAAGAGGGCATGAGGACTAGTGTTGAAGCAATTTTACTGGTATGTTAATTTGCTTCTGGTTTGCCATGCTGCCATAATGTTATGTTTATTCTTCATTCTCTTTTGTGAAAACTTATAGTAATATTTTTCACTCCTAGCTTTCTTTTCTACACACCGTAGTCATGTTTTAATGTTTTTATTTTCAATTATTCAAATGATAATCCTATGTGGCCTGCTTTCTTTAAATTTGACTAGTAAAAGATTCATTGCATTGAAACGTCAGAAAGACTTAATGCTCTAGTAATATTTAATTTTTTTCATAACAATATCTTTCTTTATTATGAGATGATAAATGCATTTTATTGGGGATGTGATGCTTCATCATTTTTCTGAGGAGGAAAAATTAGAATACCCTGTAAAGTTTGAATTTATTATGAGATAGTAACTTTAACATTATGGCTTCTAGGAATTTGAAACTACTATATTCAGAGATGTAAAATGCTAAAGGTTTACTTGTTCAGTAATTGGTTAAATAATAACTTGACTCCATTCAGAAAGAAAAAGGTCTTTCAAATGTGCGTAAAACCTTTAGGTAATGTTTGGTGCATAGGATGATGGACAGGATAAGATGATAATCATTTTATATTATGTTTGGTTTGTATCTAAAGAAAGAGATAAGATTACAAGGAGGATTAATCATCCTCTTGGTATAGGATGATTCAATCCTCCCCTAGGATTGATCTTATATTTCCTATTATACCATTAAAAATTACATTAATAATTTACATTGTATAAACTTTGAGGAAGGATAATTTTGACCAACAAATAAATTATCTTGTCATAATCCATGCACACATCAAACACAAGATAGGATGGCATTATTTAGTCTAATCCTATTCATAATATTATCTTATCCTATCATAATCTTGTCTACCAAACACGTCCTTAATTCTTACTTATCAATTTAAGGCCGTTACTTCTTCTATCTATAAGGTTGTGTATTATTTGTTTAACAAACAAGGAAAAGGGTCGTTATGGTTTATCAGCTTTTCGTTTTTACCAATGCTGCTCCAATATCATAGCCTGATTCATACTTAAGCATCAGCAGTCAACATTTCTGTGCATTGCACATATTTTATGATACAAAGGGATGCTTTTGCATCTTAGAGGTCTATAGCTTGTAAGGTGTTTACTTATGACCACAATAGTCTACCTGGCAGAAATTTACAACTTTGTCTTACATATGTAAATAGGAAATTGTTCTTCAAGAAAAGAGGAATTACGTCCTAATTAATGAAGGGTTCCTTCTTAGAGGCACAAGACTTTATATGTATAGGATCGACAATGGTAATATCTAAAGGAATTAGCATTCTTTTTGCCATTTTGAGTTTGTGTTGTACTTTTGCTGCTTTCTCTTTTATCTATAACTTACCAGTTACTATTATCTTTGTGAAGGTTACAATAATTTGGGTTCTAAGATGATCGCTTTAATGCTTATTCTTAAATTGCTTATACTGTCTTCTCATGCAGGTCCAAGAACATAATCATCCTCACATTCTTCTTCTGCAAATTGGGAACACATTCTGCAAACTTCCTGGTGGTCGCCTGAAGCCTGGAGAGAACGGTATCTTCTTTTTAACTTTTTTACTCCTACATCATAATGCTGATGTTTCTCCATACATCTTTTCTGCTGTACTATTTTGGAGATTCTATGTTGCTTGTAACCCCTATGCTCTTCTTTTTTGCTTCAGAGATTGAGGGTTTAAAAAGGAAGCTGACCAGCAAGCTTGGAGCTAATTCACCTGCTCTTGTGCCAGACTGGCAGGTACAGATTTGTTGTAATTATCTTACTTGGATGAGGAGGACAGGTTTTCCTCACAATTTCCTTTGAACTTTGCAGAGAGATAGTTTGGAAACAATTTCTTTTAATGCTTAGTTCTGTTCCTTGTTATCTTGTTGCAGATTGGTGAGTGTGTGGCCATCTGGTGGAGGCCCAACTTTGAGACCATAATGTATCCATATTGTCCTCCCCATATCACAAAACCCAAGGTAATTTTCTGTTGTTCTTGGTCTTTGTGTTACTTCACATGGCTTTTATGAGCTATGCTATCCTTTCTCAACCTCCTCTATTATCAATATTGCAGGAGTGCAAGAAGCTTTTCCTTGTTCACTTGTCTGAGAAAGAGTACTTTGCAGTACCAAAGAATTTGAAACTTCTTGCTGTGCCGTTGTTTGAGCTTTATGATAATGTTCAGGTAGGGAGTCTACCTACACTTAATCCATTCTTCAACTTGATTTATAATTTGAGTTTTGTGCTTTTCTCTTCTTTTTTTTTTTTTTTTTGTATTTGAGTTAATAAATATGTGTTTGGAATTCAAGATTTCAAAAGCTTGATAAAGAGGAAATGGAGAATGAACTGTGTCTGTGGCAAATTACCCTTGTCAGATCATATGTTTCTTCTCTGAAATTATTTCTGCTCTTATCAGCCGACTATATTACCCCAGTTATTTAGGTCTCCCTTTTCCTTTCATCTGGATTTCTACTGCTAATTTCCTGCATTTTAATGAAATGGTAAACTATAGTTTTGTGGCTTATATGTACCATGTTTCTACTTTTTCTTTTGAAAAAATAATAATTTTTAGCTTTATTGGCCATCTGGTTCTTCCATCTGACAACAGCACTTAAATGTCGAACAGAGATATGGACCAGTCATATCAACCATTCCTCAGCAGCTTTCTAGATTCCAATTCAACATGATTACTACATGACTTTGGCATGGATGTAAAGAGTGCCAACCTTACTGCTTGCTTCCAGACAGCTACATCGTAAGAATATTGCATTGGCTTCAAGAGCTGGAGCTGGTGGTATTTAATGAGAGACTTTTGTGTTACTTGGGTTTCCTAAGTTGATTAAGATGACTGAAACGTTGACACTATGGTAAACTCTTGCACTTTAATTTGATTACAAACCATTTTTTCAGCTTATATATAAGTTTAGAGTCATTACTAATCAGAGTCGTATCTTGTATGGGTCCGTAGCCACGCTAGTGTCCCAACTTAGATGGTTTAATTTAATGGTTTTATATTCTTTAAGAATGTTTAACAAGCTATTGTTGTGGGGTTTAATGGGTTGTTATATCTTGGTTATGGATGTGTGATTGTTTAGATGTAGAGCTGTTTTGCTCCCAGTGTAATTTGTAAGGTGGATCATTAGTTATGACTAGCGATGTTTATGTATCTTGGTTGATGATTGTTCATCAAACGGGCTTACAATGCAATCATGTATTTGAGTCCCATAAATGAGAAGTTTATGCTTGATGTCGGTTATGAAACAGGTAAATTAGTTTGTTGGATTTTGGAGTGTATTATTTCTACTCGACAGATTGGAATTATGGGCAAAGGGACTGCAGGTACGGATGGTTCCTTTGTGATGGAGTGAAAAATACCGAAGCTCCTATTATCTGTATCCTGGTGAAAATTGTATAATTTTCATATAATATAGATGTGCGAGGAACTGTGAGAAACTGTTCAGTTTATTCGATGGAGGCATCTTCATTGGTTGATTACTTGGCTTATTTTGCCAAGTGGTTGGGGTCTGGAATTACTTAAATTCAATTTGAGTGGAACCTTGTTTTTTTATTAAAGAGGTTGGGATGCCAGAAAGAATTGTAAGTATTAAATTTTAAAATTTAAATTAATTAAATATTAATTTTTAAAAGTAATCTTATTAATTAATTATATTAAATTTTTAGTCTTTTAGCAAGGGTGGCAATAGTGAAAGTTTTACTCACCATTGAATGATTATTGATCAAAATGAGCAGTCATTCCAAAAATTCGGTGACTAGTTATTTTAAGACAAAAAGATAATTAGAAATTACTCGATTATTATATTTAAGTTTTAATAAACAAAATCAATGGGATTCCCTCCCATACTGTTAGGGCTAATCCAGTCCTCTTCCAATATATAGACCGATGGAATTGCCTCAAATGTTGGATTTCATTGATCCTCTCCTCTGTCTCTTCTTCTTTGTTTCCATTTTTTTTTCCTCTTTATAAACGTTCCTTCCTCTTTTGCTCAAAATTTTTTTTAAAAAAATGTAATTATAAAAATAACTTTAATTTCAATTTTGAAATATAAAAAATAGCCCTAAAAGGAACCCACAAACTTCAAATTATTTAAAACAAATTAAAATTTCTTTTATATCCAAAATAAAATAATACGTCAATTGACATATTACTTGCAATGTTATAACATGATAAAGTTTAAAAAATGTCTATTCATTATAATTCTAGAAGTTTAAGGACAAACAAATTAATCTTTTAAATTTATGAACCAAAAAAAAAACATGGGATCTAAAATTAGAGAACCGCGTATGTAATTTACCTTCCATTAAAATTGGTAATGTGTACGAGCAAGTGAACAGCCGCATAGACCACAAATTTTTTCCCCTCCAATAAAAGTAGCTCTAAATATGTTTATATCAAACTAAAAAATGCAACGTGCCAACACTTGATTCTCCCCTCGCGCAAATCAGATTATGAGAACTTCTTGTTGAAACTATTTTGACAAATTGTCATCTCGTAAATAGAAAACAACTCTAGAGAGGTAGGTTAAAGTTGAGAGGCTTTCTCAGGTTTCGTCATTGGTTGTGATTTTTATTTTTTTTTAATGTAAAGTTTGGTAGCAGAAAGCTGACTTAAGCAATTGCGTAAGTTAGCACGACAAGGCATCTGCCAGGAAAGGTTGATCACTTGACTGCATGAAAAACGACGGGATTTCATTAATTTAGCCACAGTAAATCAGAACATATTATCTATAATTATTATAATATAATTAATCATTTATAATTTAAGATTGTGTACGATTCATTAAAAATTCTGTAAAATTCATATTTTTAAGTGATGAATATTTATATAATTTTTTTATTATAATTGATTAATTATAAAATTGTAATAAAAATTTATAAGTGAAATGCTTCTTAAGCAAACATGCGTTACTGGGTATAAGTATAGCCTATATATATATAAAAATCAATTAATAATATTCATCAAAATAGCGATAAATTTGCATGAAAACCAACATAGTTAAGGGAAAATTAGAGAAAGAGTGAAAGCTCTCATGTTTAATGGGACAACAAGTTGGGTAGACTTCGTTAATGATTTTATGGAAAAAATAATTTAAGAGATTAAAAATCTCCGAATCTGAATGTTCGATCCTTTTTTTTTTTTTGGAATTATGCTTCAATCATGATCCTAACAAAATATGTTGCTTTCATGTGATAACAACTTAATCAAAATTTTAATAAAGAATCTTTTAAATCAATTTTTAGGATTTGGTTTTTTTCTTTTTTTTAAAATACGGTTTTTTCTATTACTTGATTTGTAAGCCAAAGAAAAAAGGTCGGTCTTTCTAACTCAGACTAATCAGCAATCTTAAACTCCAAATTTAATAATAAAATGCAAACTTCAATACGAAAGAAGATGTCCATCACGCTCATAAATGGAGCCTTAAAATATTCTTTTACGTGTGTACACTTAAAATTGTATTTCCATCACATTGTTTAGTTAGAATTTTTTTTCCTATACTTTATATATTTACAGCTTCAGACAAAATTATCAAACCAAACAAAAACAAAAGGGCAAAAAATCTGTCCTTGTTTTCCCATCATATGAACACATTTGTCAGAAACTTCATCGAGTTGCGTAAATGGAAACAAATTTGTTACAAAGTGTCAGCCATCAACACCTAACAAATTTATCGCGAATTTTATCAAGGTAAAAGTCGCATCAGATACAAAATCATTGGTTGCCCATGGAATCGGACCAAACTAATTGTTTCATTTGTTCTCGGAACAAAAGAGCCAAAAGAAATATGTATAACAACATCTGGCTAATCGCAAATTTTATTTAATAATTAAGCTACAAAAAATTATAAAATTAATCATTTATAGCAGCCTTTTAACAAACATGTAAATTACACTAATCAAATACAATGTCGTGTTTGGTTCAGTTATGAAAAAGTTTTTTTTTTACCGTAAAAACAAAAATAAAGTATTTGGATCTCAAATTTTTAATTTACGCAACTAGTTCATTTTACTTTAGCAATAACTGATTAAATTATAAATTCTTTAATTAAATACTTTTTAGAAGAGAGAAATGTTGATGTGGCACCTAATTGAATCAATGTGTTAATATATTACTGGTATAAACATTAAAGTATAAAAATATGTATGATTTTAATCTATATGTACCTGTAGGATTTGATTCATTAATGATTATGTATGATTTTTTTTTCTCAAAAAATAAAATTTGGATCTCGTTTTCAACTTAATAAATAGCATAACCTATATATTTTAGTTTGAAATAATTAAGGATTGTCGGCAACAATATCATTGTATTTAAGGCAATGCATGTTTATATTTCATGAAATACAGGCTCTCTAAAGTTCGGCAACAAACTTCAATCAACTTTATCAACCCCTTCCATTTTGGCACGTGCATGTAATAGAAAAAGCTTGTTGGACAGTGCAGAGATGTTAAAAATCTTGGATCCGTCTCGAGTATTTGATTTAGTGGTTAAAAACGTTTGAAAAAATATCAAGGGTTTGATTTTGAATTAAGTCTTTTTTTTTTGCTTTTATTTGTATTAAGATATGAGAAGATAAAAATCTTAGATCCTAAATTTTAATTATAAAATAATAGGGATTAGTTAGTAGGAGAAGAAAAGCTTAATTTATTTTGTGAATTATTAAGGATAAATAGGAGCTTCAAGTTGACATAGCCAAATTATTAATATGAACTATAAATGATATTCTAGAATATGTTAATCCATGGGCTACGACAATTTAATTTTTTATTCATTTAAATAATATATTTCTTCCAAGTTGAAAACGTACGTATACAAATCTGTCAAAAAGCTATGAATATGCAGCAATTTCATTATTAGAAATTAAAACTTAATGAACTATAAAAAGAGTGAACGGTCCATAAAGGGCAATGATTTATTAATGATTGCAAAATGTTCATCTGTCCCAAAGAAATAAAGCAGTAATTGATCTTTATACCCAAAATCCCGACCATCAGATTTTCTGAAATAATGTAACAAAGCATTTGGTACGCGTTTTATTTTTTTAGGTAAAAAAAATTTAGGGTAAATAGATTGTTTAATTTTTTAGATTAGGGTAAGATATGTCATCTTTTTAGGTAAAAAAAATTTGGGTAGATGGACTGTTTAATTTTTTAAGTCAGAGTAAGATATGTCATATCTTACAGCTTAAGACAAGTGATTGCAGATTATGCATTCGAAATGATCATCGACAAGATTCAAACTCAAAATTTTTTCATTGAAAAAAATGATCTTAACAAATTAAATCAATCACTTATTGATGATATGCGTTTAATTATTTGAATAAAACTGTCTATTTGTTTGAAAAATGAATTTTTTTTTAATAAATTATAAAGTCTTTGAATCAAAGTATAAAGAAATTATGCTTGCTTGTTTGAAGATATAAGAATGAAAAATTCGTATCAGTCGGACATAAGATTTATTTATTTGTTTATAATATAAATAAAAAATTGTTAATAAATTTATTAATTTTATTGATAAAAAAATTTTAAAAAAAATTAAAAGTATTAAAAAAAATTTTCTTTAATTTTTTTTTTCAATCTTTGAAGATATCTATAGACATTTTAATTTCCCATTGTATCTACCACTGCTATGTACTGCCAAACAAAGAAAAAGAACATTGAACTATATATTTCTACTAATTTTACTAGCTATAGAATAAATGGTCCAAAGACTGCTTATAATTAGTTTTTTTTTATTCGTTAATTAAAGACTTTGTAGGTTAGGTATTACAAAGTCAATAAGATTATACAAAGTAATATTGCTTTAGAACGAACACAGGGTAACATTGACATTTCTTAAACTTTGGTGTGTTTGAATGTGGTATTTGAAAAAGAGACTTTATTTCAATGAAGGTTTTTAAAAATTAAAAAATAAATTTATTTATTTGAGTAAAAATAAAAAGGCATTTCAAAATTTATGTGAAATATCAGGAGAAAATTTGAGGTGCTCAAATTCTCTCTTGAAACTCTAATTAAATAAGTGGTTTGTCAAGAGTCTTCTAAATCATTCATCTCTTTATTGCACAAAACTCATCATAAAATACAAAAAAGAAATAAATATAATTTTATTTAACTTTAAATTTTAATATATATATTTTATTTTGCATTATTAATAATATTTACATTTTTTAAAAGTCTAATGAATCCATGTTGCATATTTTATTTGTACATATGTATTTTTTATCTTTAATATAATTAATTTTCTTTTATAATTATTTTTTTTATCTCATCAAATTTCCTTTCTAAGAAACACTTATCTAAACAAAATAATTACAAATACTAATATTTTAAAATTACAAAATACCTTATTTTAAATTTTTTTCCAAATTTTACAATTATCTGATCAAACGCACTATTATAGGTTTACTCTTTCTTCCACAATGAAAAACTTAAAAAAAAAAAATGGATAAAGAATTCTTTATTTGACACTCGACAGCGATAAACTTCACAGCTCATAATTAAGTACTAATACTAGTAGAATTAATTTCTTTTTCCTTTCCAAAACTAGTAATCTTACAACTAATCTTTGCTTTAATACTCGTAAAACCTTTTCGGATTGGCTATTTATTGCTTTTGCCTCTTCTCCTCTAAACTGCCCTTAACCTCATTGCTTTTGGCTCTCTCTCTCTCTTTCTCTCTCTCTCTCTTTATTTCTCTTTCATAAGCCAACTTTTTAACGTGTAACAAGGCGGGCACTGCCTCTCTCAGGCAAAAAATGGGTTGCAAGTCAGCTGACAAGCCAAAAGCTAAGCACAGGAAGGGGTTATGGTCACCTGAAGAAGACCTAAAGCTCAGAAACTATGTCCTCCAACATGGCCATGGTTGCTGGAGCTCTGTTCCCATCAATGCAGGTCAGTTCATTACTCTTTTTCTTTCTTCACTCCTTGTCAGGTTCTTTTACACCCTTTAATTAATTTTTAGCTTCAACAAAGGAAATGGCATTAAAAGATTAACCCTTTTTTATATTGATTGTTATTGAGTCCCTTTTAATTTTTCTGGAATTTATTTGTATCCAACTACATTATGGATTTCATTCTCTTAAAGGGTTGTGTATGCTGTTTCATTAAAATGCACCTGTTTTTCTTTGCTTTGGGACTAATTTATCTAATTCATGCTTGTCCTGAAATGAGTTTTTTTACCAGTGACAAACCGACACTGGCAAATGGCAATACAGTGATTCAATGTAAGATCATGCCATGTTTCAGGACCAAGTTGTTCTTTATTTTACTTTTCTTCTAACCATTGAGGAAAAAAAAAGGGGTTGTTCTTACAAAGTAACTTATGTGATGTGGAATAAAGATTTTTGTACGTTGGTTTCCCTGTCTGCCTAAAACATTCAAGAATTTTTGTTGTCGTTACTCGAGTCAGCAACAATGAGTTTGTGATAAAATCTTGCCTTCGGTTAAAGGAAAGCGATTGATTCTTTTATTGTGTGTGAGAAAAGAAAAAGAAAGTGAAGGAGATTGATAATGATTTCCTTTTCAAATGACTAAAATAGTCTCTCAACAGTTTACCCTGGTTTGTTCTGATGAGTTGTAAACTTGTAAATACTTCACTTCCAGGTTTGCAGAGGAATGGGAAGAGCTGCAGATTAAGGTGGATTAATTACTTGAGACCAGGATTAAAGCGAGGGATGTTTACGCCGCAAGAGGAGGAAACAATCCTGGCCCTTCACCATTTGTTAGGCAACAAGTAAGCAAGAAGGCTGTTGCATTTACTGCTACACCCGACTGTATTCAGTTTTTTTAACCTTTCCTATAATGAAAAATTATCCTTTGATTTACGATGAACTAACGAGGATGATCTATTTTTTGTTGACCAGGTGGTCCCTAATTGCAAAAAATTTGCCTGGAAGAACTGACAATGAGATAAAGAACTACTGGCATTCCTATCTGAAGAAGAGAGTGGCAAAATTTGAAGAAATGGAAGCTCAGACGAGGACTCGATACACCAACTCAAGCTCTGAAAATACAGAATCTACTGTGTCTCCACAAAATCTCACAGACCAAATTCCAAGCTATGAATCCTTCCAGCACATTGAAAAATCGTCAATGACTACTGATCAAGCTGTTCCACAGCATTTTGACTTCGCTAAAGAGCCACATAGAAGCTCACTACCAAAGCTTTTATTCGCAGAGTGGCTATCGCTAGATCAAGAAGGTGGAAGCTTCTCGAATTCAGGTAAGCCAGTGGCTTCCTCAGATGGACTTAATCATGGTTCAAGTTCAAACTTCCAGGATCCCTTCATGAATGCATATTTATCAAATGAGGGAGCATTTGGAAGTGATTTTCATGATGGACTAAGCAATGCATCAGTAAATGAAATGTTTAGCTCACAATTCAAGTTCGAAACGCAGATTTCAGGAAATGAGTTTGTTGTTTCTATATCTGGGGACGACATATGTCATGATTTCAATATCAACGATGATGTAATGTACATATAAGGGCATCGTTCCATGGAAACTTTTGAAATAAGCTACTTTCAAGAGATACCTCACTTCTGTATCGTTCACAAATTCTAATAGTTTATATGTGTTTTTGAAAACAAATTGAACTCTCAAATAATTGGGTTCTCTTGAATCATTGAGAAAATAAAGATATGTATTTCTGGTGTTTGTTCTCTTACTTCACAACTGTGTTCGAGTGCCTCTTTAATGTTCAAAATGAGTTTGGAGTGAGTTGGAAAAGGTTTGAAGTAAAAAACTACCTTTCCCTGCAAAAAATGACCGTTGCAGAAACCCCAAAGGGATCGATTCCTTAAAGCAAAATATGCGTTTACCCGTATATGGGATTTAATCTTATAAAGAGGGAAATGATCCCCTACATCTCATATTATGTTCTCTAACGTATTAATGATTTATTAATGACTTGAAAGGAATATTTAAGATATATTTGTTCACTTTTCTTTCTTTCCACAGTTTTCTCAAGTTTGAAATGTTCATTTCACAATTATTTAAGGCCAAATATTTAAAATAAAAATTAAATAGATTTTGAAAATATATTTTTGACTTAAAATATAAGTCTAAAAATAAAATTTGCAAAGTAAATTTCTTGGACTTTCTTTTTGGCTTAATATGAAAGTGTTTTCTTCACTTTATATTTTTTTCAAAATTTAATTTCTTAAAAAAAATATTAGAGCTCAAGAATTTTTTTTTTTTGAAAAATAAAAGCACAAGTCAAGTAAATCATATTGATTTTTTTTTTCCTTAAAATCAATAATGTTCATATTATATTAAATTCAAAAAGAATATATTTTTTTTAAATATCAATTTGGACTTGTGTTATTCTTCCATGAAGTTGCGTCAAAGTACAGATTCCAACAGGTTGTATTTGATATCGCTTCTCTGGTAACAGGATTACTTTTATATTTCTCGACTTCCTGTTTCCATCTCTGGTTGCTGAATCATTTGGTTGACTTTTTTTTCATAAGGATTTTAATATGAAAAAAAAATAGTTACAGCTTAGTACCATCTATCGTATTATATTACTTAATCATCTTTCAGAAGAGTAGAGAATTTTTGGTTTCCAATGACTTTCTAGATAAATTCAATGGGAGCACCACTGCCATTTTTGCCAGCTGGTGTAGGTATGTTGAAGGAGCCAAACTTTGCTTTACCTCATCTACACGTTTATTGATTTCCATTAGGCCAAGGAGGCTCTCTTTGTCGTTCCGAAGAAGCTCAAATAGTAGTACAATAATTCACCCAAAAGTCAATGAGTTTGGCCAAAGACCTAGGCTTTGTGGTTCACTTTCTAGCGCCAGGGGGGGGTGGGGGGGAGGGCGCATTGTGAAAGGGTCAGCTACAGCATGTAATGCAAGCAAACTAGCATTCTAGCTTGATTGAAAACTTGGATTTAGAAATTGATCAAGGAACCAAGATAAATGTGCCGCCCTTTTTACTGTTTCAAAATAAATGGGAAACTTACTACACGAAACGTATATATAACATACATGATCATAATGTTTTTTCATGCAATTGCAAGCTTCATGCCGTAGATACTTTTAAGTTGTTGCGGTGAATAAAGCTTCTTTGCTCCTTTTGGCACCATGGCTTCATGCTCAAATCTACCAAGTCCTGATTTTAGGAATTGTACAAAGTTGATATTAAGAAGTCGTCTGTAAGGATTAGGCTAGCCCATAAAATAACTGAAGCAGCAACAGCAATGATTAACGTTTCCTCCCTCTATATGTTCCCTCCTTGATTAACGTTGGAAGGAAAAATGGAAACTTGGGAGCAATATATTGATACAATGACTTTCTTAAATTATATCCTCCCTATGTTTCCTCTGCTTTATTAACAATCAAATATTATAACTGTTTCAAAATTATTAAAAATATAAGCTATAAACCAGTTCATGGCGATATTACCGAAACTAATAAAGCTAGATGATCTTGTAACTTTCTCAATGAGACCATAATCAAACTTGTCAAACTCCTTTAGAAGATCCTGCAAATAATGGAAAGCTAGTTTTCTTGGATAGGGAGAATAAGACAATACGATGAAGCAGATTCCATTCACGACCATATGTATAGCTTATGGTAAAAGGGGAAAAGGTCAAGTAAAATAGTAGTAAATAATTTAACGAATATCTCATAAATTTTGTGATTTTGTTTGGTAAAATGTTGTTTTTTACTTTTTGCTATTTGTTTTTGGTTTTTTATGTAAATTTTATTTTTCGACGCATCTGCAAGCTATAAATACATGTAGGGCTCCTCTTTTAAGTTTGATCAATGCTGTCTATCAGAGCATGCCTATAAGAATAACTGCAATTTTCACACACTTCTAATTAACGTTTGTAACTGGACTCTAATTGCTCTAACCCCCACTGGAATCCATTTTTATGAGGGCCAATTAGCAAGGAAAGTTATCATCTGGCAAGCTGCAAGCTTGAACCATGTTCGTTTAATTATATTTTGATAAACCGACTCTGAGGGACTTTTCCTTAGTCCACACATTCCTGTTAAATAACGGCCATTCTCATATAAGGAAAATTGCTGACCATATTTTAGATAAGAACCCCAGGTGAGCATGATTTCAAAGCTGACCTAATATATTTTAGAACTTAGCCCTACTCAAAAGAAGGATGAAAATGAGTAAATGTACCGAATTTACCACATTCCAGGTGCACTGCTATAGCATCTAATCTGCCAGGAAGGACAGACAATGAGATCAAGAACTTCTGGAACACCCATCTTATAAAGCGTCTCCTTTCCACAGGCAATATACCGCAGACCTTCCTGTCCAATTTCCACCTATGAATCAAGCATTATTAAATCCGAGTCACCTTCAACCCGCCACACTGTTCAATGGAAAAGCGTCTAGCTTGAGGCAGAGGGCCGCTTGTCAATGGAATCCTCAATGATGTATTCCTCATCAACAGGTAAAAACTGACTGTGACATCTTTCTTATGTTATGGAATTCTGATGTTGGAGAAAATTTCCGAAACACTGCTAAGCATCCTAAGAAAGAAGTGAAAGCCCTATGTCCCAAAGACCCAAACATCTTCATCCACAAAATTTGAATCAAGTTCATACGTCAAATGTGAAGAAAGACCCACCATTACTTGTGGTTCTGGCACCCATGAACAAGTTGATAGCTGTAGCCCAGGTTTAGACGCATTAGCTTATTCAGACTCCATCAACTCCAATGAATTTTTGGATTCATCATATACAGCAATGAAACTGCTGTTAGATCTAACCTAGCTAGTGATACTGATCTGGGATTTTATATATATATATATATATATATATCTATAGGAGACCGCTTCAGAATAGGGAGGGAGAGAGATTTTAAATATCAGGATTTGAACTCATTTTTAAGGCGGTTGCAAGAATCAATTGAATTAAACTCGAAATTTAATTTTATTTTTTTTTTATCTTTGAGAAGGTACGGTTAAAAGGAGATTAAAACTTGGATATAGCTGGTTGCTTCATTCTAAGTTTGCTTGCCCACAACTTCTCATAAATCAAAAAGAGCCTAAAATAGGAACCAAGTAGGGAAGATAAAAGAATTTCGAGTTTTGTGGTCTACCAGTCAGTAATTAATGGCTGAAGATGTTTTTTGTTCAATAATCCAGTATACAAGAACAAGGCTATGTGCTTAAAAGAGCTGTATCTGGGAAATTCTGTCCAAAGAATAGAATGTGAAGCTATATATTCTTATGTATTTTTGGCCTAGGAAGATTTTTGGAGAGGCTTAACATACTTTATTCAACTTATGTAAGAGCATCCTACTTTGGAACAGGGATTTCATAAATGCCACTTCCTACGCCTAGTCCTAAAGGAGCTAAAATTTTCAATTGCAGCATTCAAGTCACGAACTAGAAGTTGCCAGGTTGCTGCGTTCTGGACTTTCAGCTATGCAAGAACAATATGAAACTTAAATAATTTACTTCATTCTATAATCTTCACGAGTCAACATTATTACATTAAACTTGTTTCTTACAAATTCAATAAGTAATTTCTTCCGATATACACACACGCAAACAGAGAATAATGAAAAATGGCCAATGCCGCACCATATAAACCAGACAAACACATCTAAAATTAACATGACCTCTCAAAAGAAATATACAATGACCCAATTTTCTAATCCAGACTTTTTGAAGAATTTTATCCTCAGAAACAACCAAGGATCTTCTTCGGCGTAGTTCCGGTGGCACGGTACTTTGCAGCCATCTCCTCTGCCTTGAGAAGATCTTCCCCCCGCTTAGCTTCAACAATTGCCTTCTTCTCTTCTGCTTCCTTGTGGATTAAGGCTACCTTGTTTTTCATTTTTTCCACATATTCGGCCTTTTGCTTCTCTAATTTTTGCTGCTCATGTAAAATTTAGTAGTCATGTTATTAATAATTATTGTGCTTCAAATTACATATCAAACTCTTTTCTTAAAAAAAACTGAATTAATACCTCAATTTTTTTCAGCTCAGCTTCCATAGCTGCTTTCTTGCTATTCTCCCAAGCCTCAATAGAAGAAAGCTTTTTCTGAGCTCTGCTCAACAATTTCAATAAGCTCGAAGTTCAGTAACATAAAAGCCTAACTGAATTAAATAAAAGACCCAAGCTCCAAGTTCAATTGGCTTTTTTTTTTTTTTTTTAAAGTAAAGGACATCATCTAGAGCATCGCAACCACAAAATCTAAACCAAAAGCAGTTAAAAAAGCTTAATTTTGTTTGCATGTTATGCAAAAATTCATACCATGAAGTTTCCTTATATTTTCAAAAAAAAGAAAATATAGAAGTTAAATAAAGACCAAAGTGAAGAAGTTCATACTTGTTCTCAGCTTTGCTTTTTTCACTTTCTTCCCAAGCTTTGATTAGTGAATTTCGCTTCTCTGTCGCAACTCTAGCAAGAACAACATCTGGACAAACAAACCAGTAGGGAACATTTTCAATTAATCATATTAATTACATTTATTGGGTCATTATTAATAAAAACGAAGATTTTGATAAACGTAAGACTGAGAGATTACCTCGATGAACAGAACCCTCCTTGCTTTTCTCCTCAGTCGATTCCACCGTCTCTGCCATAAACACCAAAATTAAATTAAAAGGAAAAAAACAATACAAATAAAAATATTAAATTGACACAAAAAAAAAACAAAGAGATAAACGGCAAGCTAAACCAAAGAAAAAAAAAAAGAAAACTGAAAAGGGAAAAAGAAAGTTGTATACTTTCGACTGCAGGGAGTTCTGTCGGCTCAGCAGGCTTTTCTTCAGTAGCAAGAGGTGGGATTATGGATTTTTCCTCGGCAACATCTTGGGGGGCTGCGGCCGGTTCGGGAGCAGGCAGCGAGGCCGGAAGCTCCGAGGGGGTCTCGGTTTTAACCTTCTTGGATTCTTCCTCTGCCATGTGTTTGTGCTAACAAGAATCCTTAGCAGAAAACAGGGCGAGTTGAAACAGAAGAGAGAGAGAGCAAATGGGTAGATTACCTGAGATATTATAGTTGGGGTTGGATGAGAGTGTAACTGTAGCTTCTTCGATTGACTGAGCTGAGCTGGATGGTAAGGTACAAGTGGTCTATTGTGCTTTGGCAGAGAGTGACCCAAGCAGGCGTTGAGATGTACATGTAACTATCTTTTTGTCCAAACACCCAAAGCCAAAATTATCTTAAAAAAAAAAACGATTCCTCTGGTTTTTGCTGTTCATTCGATCGAATCATTGAAAGGTGAAAATTGCGGCCGAAGTTAAAAAAAAATCTCCTTTTGTTGTTGGTTTTTTAATTGAAAGATACTTAAGCTTAAAAACTCGTTTATTCAGCCTTAAGTTTTGAATTTGTCAGAAATGAACCCAACATTTTTAACGTGCTGGTGCAAATATTTGTCCTGATTTAGGATTTTTTTATGATATAGGTGCAAGGAGAAGTTTCTCCAACAATTTGTGTCACAATCGTTTTACCGGAGTTGTTAGACCAAATCATTGAACTAAAAGGAGATTAGGTTGAATTCTATAACAAGAATATAAATTAGTATTTATAAAATTTTAGGTTCAATTAAAATAAAATTTAAATTTGACTCGATTATTATCGAGTTAAATTTAAATTCGAATAATTAAATTTATCGATCGAATCGAATTTAAATATTTTTATACCTAATTCAAATAATTTATAAGTTTAATCAAGTTTTATATTTTAATATATTTTAATTATTTTAATTAATAAAATATTTTAAATTCGAGCTCAAACTTGAGCATAAAAAATTAAATTTTTATTGAATATAAGAGTTAAGTTTATTTTTACAAGTTAATTAAGCTTAATCAAGTGAGCACAAATAGCTCGATTTTTATCTTGAGTCAAACTCGAATAAAAAAATTAAAACTCAATTGAGTTTAAGCAAAGTTTTGAGCCTCGAATTTTGAATCGAGCTTAAGGATCGAGTTTAATACTATATCAACTTGATCTCGATCGATTACATCCCTATTTTGCCATGATCAATTAAAAGTATTATTATTTTTAGGATAAACTTTAAAAATATTCTCTAAAGTTAAAATCGAAATGAAAGTGCCCATGAAGTTTAAAATGTGATACTTAACTACTCTATAATTTGTTTTATTATTTTTTACTCAAAACCATTACTTTTTCATTTCTTTATTTTTTTCCCTTTTCCTTCATCTAAATTCATACTCTCTTTCTCTAAAACCAAACTAATTCTCTTTTTAAATTCAGACTAATTTACAAATAATAACTTTTAAATCGTCAAATCTCCACACCACTTCCACTATTAGAAGTTCACATCACACCAAACTTCATCCTTAACTAATTCAATGCTTTTTCAGAATTTGGCATACCTCCACCATCGCAATTGCTGTCAACTACCATCAATCGCCACTGTCAATCGTCCACCAATTATAGTGTCTACCTGAAAGCTATTTCTAAAAATGGTTTGATCTCTTCAGTTTTCAACCAAATGGATTTTTAAATTTTTGATTGTGTTTGCCTAAACAAAATATGTTTGCATTAGTTGCTAGACAATTTTAGGCTTTGGTTACTAGACGAAGGTAGACTTTATAGCCGGGTGGGGTTTAGATATTGGGTTTATGTTTTGATTGGACGATAGTGGTGATTAGGTGTTGGATATGAAGGCTTGGTAGAGATATGTGCTATTAATTTTTGTGTAGTTTAGGTTGAATTGGTGGTGGCATTGAGCAACTGGGACAATGGTTGTGGATGGTTAAAGCAAAGAGTATGAATTTTTAGAGAGAAACAATGAGTTTTTTAAAGAGAAAGTATGAATATATTAGAGAGAGAGTATGAATTCAATTAAATATGGTAGTGGTGTGAAGGTTTTAGTGATTTGAAATTTACTGTTTTATAGATTTGTTTAGGTTTAAAGAGAGAATTGCTATGATTTTAGAGAGAGAATAAATTTTTAGAGACAGAATATAAATTTTTAGAGAAAGTATGAATTCAAATGAAAAAAATAAAAAAATAAAAAAAGTAACAAATTTGGATAAAAAAATAATATAATAAATCATAAAGTAGTTAAGTGTCACGTTTTAAACCTCATGAGCACTTTTATTTTAACCTTAATCACATGATATATTTATGAAATTATCTCTTAATTTTATAGTGTAATTCAACCATAAAGGGGAAAAGAAATCAGTTTCTTTTTTTTACTCGAAACAAATTTAAAGCACTTGGTTTGCAGTTGCATCAAAGATTCATTCTCCAAGATCAGGTTTAGATTTATCTACACATTCTTTTTTTGGTACAAAAGGTATGATTAGACCACTTACATTTTGAAGGCTCTAGATCTTGCCGTTTTTAAAATATCTTCTTGCATAAATTTCATAACACCTAGAGAGAGGGTTAGCTAAAATATAATGTACACAATTCCCACTAAAAGCCTAGTTAATCATGTAATCAGCACCAAAACTTACTTCTAAAGATATCATTGATCTTAAAATTCCAATATCTGTGAAGAAACTACTGACACTGATAAATAATGTGATGCAATGGGTTTTTGACTAGTAATTTTTTTCGCTATTAGCATCGAATCCGATTCAATAGTCAATCTTTGAATACCTCTTTCCATGCTGTCCTCAACACCATTCAAATAGCATGAAGTTCAATCTTAAGAATCCAACTGTTTCCATGTTTTTTAGAAAACCTAAAAAATTAATGTTCGTTAAAGTCTTGCACAATATGATTAAAAAGCCAATAAATCATATTTTAGTATGATTTTTGGATTTTATTTTAATTTTTGAATGAATTCCTAGTTTTCGTTTTTGTATTTATTGAAATTATTAAAAGAAATATTTTTCTTGAATTTTTATGGAATCTTATTTTTCTAAAGAATCACAGATACAAAGAGTTATCTACTATTAAATCCTAGCGAAAATAAAATGGATATTTTTATCCAAGAGTGACTATGAATACGAGAAAAGTATAATGTAAGAAAAAAAAAGTAAAGATATGAATGAAGAATACTCTATCCATTTCTGTTTCATTGATATCACTGCTATGAACTATTATATATCTATATATATATATATATATATTGAAATAATGAAGAATGCTTTTATAATTTGTTATATTCATTCTGTTTTATTTGATCACTTCTTTAGAATAAAAATATAAGTCGATATGCTTTAAAAAAAAGTTGATAAGTGTAAAAAGGAGTTATATTAAAAAGGCAAAAGAGTAAAAAAAATTGAATAAAAATTTAATAGTTATTTTATTTTTAATATTTTATTATATTAATTAAATTTAAAAATTTTTGTTTTAGATCAATTGAATATTGAGATTTTTATTTTTATTTAATTGAATTTTTAAATATTTATTTTCATAAAAATTTAATGCTCAATTAGATGAAAATTTGTGTTGATAGTTATCTAATTTTCTTTTAATAAAATTTAAATTAATAAAATAATAAAAACTTATATAATTATGGAATTTTTACTCGATAACTTTTTTAACTCTTTGATTTTGTTGGTTTTTATGCTGAAGCTTGGCTCTGATCTGTATGTATTTTTTAGGAATGTTGTTTTAGAATAAAATGTCATGAGGTCTTCAGTTGGCTTGGGTTGATTTGCATTTAAGTTTGGCCTTTGATCGATTATCTTTTTTTATTCCATTAGGTCAGGATCATTTTCCTAGAAAAACAGATCTCGACGTGATGATTATTATATCGAACAACTTATTGAACATATTAGTAGAAGTGAAGTATGCCTATTCATTTAATGTTGTATTTTGGCTGACATGTTAACTTGGGTTAAGTAACATAAAAAATTTCACACTAGCTTAAGAGCTCGATTGTTTCTACTATTGCCTTAAAATTAAAAAAAATAGAACAAAATTAAATTTTTACGGAGTTTAGGAGCTCAGAGCGGCTTAAGAGCTCACTTTTCTCAGATTGGTCTTATGTTCTATATTCTTGTTGGCGGTTTCTTATTTTTTGTCAGTTCTCTATGTCAATTCCTTTTTGCCTTCCACCTCGGTATCGATCGAGCTGCCTGTCTGCTTCATGTCTTACCCTTCATTGTTGTAACGTAACATTACCATGCTATGGACTGATCTTCTTAAACTTTTTTAACCCCTACAGGTGTTGAAAATTTCACTTTCAAGTAGGGAGTTGAGCCTATAAGCCATATAACAGACTGGTTAGTCTATCTAATATCATATTATAGGCAGAGAGGATATCTACATAACATACTGGTTAGGTTTGTCTAATATCATATTATAGGCAGATGAGATATCTACTACCATGAACTCCACGATCGAGGTAATCGTCTTTAACTTTATCCCTAGGAAGATTAAGAGCTTGATAGTTTCTCTTACTGGCACATTTTCATTTTCAAACCACATTAATGTGGTGGTGATCGACCTTAACTAATCTTCGTCAATCTCTATTTTCTTGAAACAGCCATAGTACGTAATGTCGATCAAACTTCCATTGTCAAATAGGATTTTTTTTAACCACATAGTTATATACCAAGGCTATGATCATTATGACATCATCATATGGATGTTGGATCCCCTTCAAATCTTTCGAGTTGAATGAGATTGGGTCATTTCTCTAGTCTTTTTTTTTTTTTAGCTAAAGTGTCTACTACCATTACCATAACTAGGTTAAACTTCATTTTCGTCGAAGTGGAGCTGCCTCTTGTGATCACGTTAATCACCTTGGTGATTAGCTTGCTATTGTTAGCTCGACCTTTTTTCTAATTTGACAGTTCTTCTTAGGCATCCCTTCTTTCATGATTTGATTTTCTCTCTCTACCCCGAGTGGGTGCTCTATGGTCATTTTTGTAGTTTTTTTTAAACTGGTCTTGTCTTCTCTATCCTACAAATCTTTTCAACTGACCTCGCTTTATCAGAGCTTTAATCTTATTTTTTAGGTTGACATATTCTTTAGTATTATAGTCGATGTCATGGTGAAAAATATTTTTTTTGTCAAATCTCACATTGTGTTCTGTCTCAGCAGCTTAGGCCA